AAGTGTCTCCAAATGTCTAGATGTCTTTCTTGGCATCCATGGAGCAGAAGGTGGGGACTGTGGCTGGGGACCCTCACGTACATAGTGGCCAGTACTAGCAGGAGGAGGACTGCTTCCTGACACTAAATCTCCACAGCAGTAAGATTCCGCTGCCGTGTTCTCTGCTGAGAACGCTCTCTGCTCGGCATGAGCGAATCTTATTTAAATTCTCAAGTCAGGCTAGTTCATAGCATTCCAACAGGCTCCCTGTGACCAGCACTGGATGAAAATGCATAATGCAGTGTATTCCTCCAAGGTTTAATAACACTATTAATGTTCTTTGTTAGCATGGGTGTTCTAGGGAAATATTTCCAGAATTTAATTTTCAGCAGCAGGACATCTCTTCTTAAAGATGACCTACCAATGTTGAGGCATCCCTTGGAGCCATTTGCTCAAGAAACAAAATCTTCTGCCTCATTTTTCCTCTTTGCAGCACCGGCACAATAGCTGTTGCACGATGCTTTGAAAAGGAGGGATGGTTATGTAAATGCCACCATGATTAAAGATGTTTAAATTCTGCAGGAAGGAAAATTAGCTTCTAGAAGCAGGAAAAAACACATAATCTGAAACCAGATTCAACATTGCCAATATTCTTCCCTGGCATAATTCAATTTACTGAAGTTGCATTTACCTTGGGCATCTGGATCAAGGACTGACGTAGCTGCAGTTAAGCTGATGTGAACTTAAAGAGTTTGGAAGCTAAATGTCAGTTAAATGAGGATTCAGGGATTCAAAATGGCAATGTCTGTCTTCTGGGTCACTTATTTTGCTCCTAATGAGTGAGAGAAGGAAGTGATCCAGAAGACTGACATTGTCATGTCTCCACCATGGAGAGACTAGCTGCTTCTCGAAAGGCTGGGAGTGACAGGAGGAGACCTGTCAGTCAAGATTGGGTTCTCTGAATTATGGCCTTGGCACTGAGCAGGTGAAGAAGCTCAGCCTCCTGTGCTGTGCACAAGGCCCATCTTCCCCTGTCCTAATAACCACATAGACCTATTGCCTTCATACCTTGCTTGTGGACCTCTTTGCTGGATTAAGAAGAACTCAAGTCCAGCCCATCAGGTTTCTCCACATGTTCCTGGGTTTACAAGAACTAACAACATGTAGAGGTTTTAGAAATGGAATCTGGGTCACTCCAGAGGCCCCCAGCACGATAGATTCCCCACGCTGAACAATGCGATGCTTGTGGTTCATTTCTGAGCTCAGTTCAAAGTGATGATGATCATCCTTGACCTCCAGAAGTGCTTGATCCCAGGATGCTGAATGGAACATTCCCCCACATGCAATGCTGCCTGTCCACTTGGCTGGTCAGCAGAGACCCATCGCTATTAGAGGGAGGGGGCTTCCCGACACGAGGCATTTAATTTGCCACTTTTATTGAGCTCTCTTCTTCCATTCTCTTTGAGGGAAGAAGAGAGCATCCTCCACACAGTTCCCCCCCCCCGCCCCCAGTGTGTGCCTTTCACTGCCTTTTTATGTGCCTTTCACTGCCTTTCCATTATCTAACCACAAGCTGGCACTGCGGTATATCTTCAGCACAGCAGAATTGCAGCAGAATGCGATAGTTTGTTCTGCATTTGAACTTTAATGGCTGACTTAGATCTCCCCCCACCCCCCAAAAAAGAGAAATTCACGTAAAAGGCTGGAAAACATGGGCGAGGTCCTGGAGGATGATAAAGATAGAAAGCATCTGTGAGTGAGGGCTCTTGAGGGCACAATCATGTCCTAGTCTCCACGGGGAAAGCCGTTTCCACTGTAGCGCAGGCGCCAGGGGCTCCTCCGCATGCCGGGAGACTGCTCTGGCATTAAATGCCGAGTGAAAACTTCCTCATTCCAGCCACTCTGGCCTGGCAGCATGCCTGTGAGCTGCTATTCCCTCGGCTTTTACAACTTCGGCTTTGTTTTTCCTCCCCTGTTTTGCTTTTGTTTAAATCTGCTGTGCTGTCTGTAGGTTGCTTTTCTAATATTATATATGTCGGTTTTCAAAATTTTTGTGGTACCTTGGATATTTTGAAACAAGATGAAAGACAGGCTATAAATATTTTAAATAAAGCAATAGAAAAGGCATGCAAGGCTTTGACGATATATTTTGACTGCCTGGGTGTTGAAGGACTTTGTTTTGGTCTGAGCATGCATAGAATCGCCCTGCATGAGCTGCCCAGGCAGCTGGTTGCATCTACGCTTGGGAAGACCAGGCCATCCATCAGCTTCACAAAGTTCTGTCTCCTCTCGCCGCTGCAAAGGGGGATCCACAATGCAGTGTCTGTGACTGCGGTTCCTTTGAGAGTTTCCATGGCTGGGCCACACAGATCTTCTTCTCCACACAGCAGAAGAGGCAGAAACCCCAGCACCCTGTTCTTCTTCACCCAGGATGAAAAAGTCCTTGCAGAATGCCTGGGTTGTATCTTTTCAAAAATGGGGGAGTCAACATTTTTTCTTTTCTGGCTCCCAGCAATGGGAGCAGCTGCACTCCAACTGGTAGCCATCATGAAACTTGCAAAGATTAATTTGAATGTCTGCAGAGCCCTCCTTGATGGAGACACTGACTTCACCCAAACAAATTTTTTCCTGTCCCTTATTTCCCCATCAACTTCTTATAACATCTTGCTAGATAAAGAGATCTTGGAGATCTTGAAAGCATGCCCATTGTGTGTGTGTGTGTGTGTGTGTGTGTGTGTGTGTGTGAGAGAGAGAGAGAGAGAGAGAGAGAGAGAGAGAGAGAGAGAGAGAGAGAGAGAGATCGTTTATCTGGCCTAACAAAAGCGTTACACCAATTGAGGTTTGGAAGTTTTACCTATGGTCAGTCCTGCTTTGCTTTTCCCACCACCTTGTGTGACTGAGTGATGGCCTGGCTTCTTGCCAGCAGTAATGTCTTGGAATATGCTGCTGAGATGATTTACTGTGCAGCTGAATGATGGGATGGGAAAGTCTTCCCTCTTAAATATTTGATTGTCAGCAACACAAAACGCCAGGCAATTTATCCTCAAGCCTTTTGCATGGGGGAGGGGGGCTGTCTATGCTGCATATTAGAGGAGTCATTCTGACCAAGATACCAAAGGAGAGTGGAAATGAATAACGGAGCTGCATCTCTTGAGAAGGCAAAAAGATAGCAAATGTGACTGGGTGGAAATAGCGAGTGCTAAGGAAGCAAGTGAAAAGGGTGCAAAATTACATGCAGGAAAGGGTTAGAAAGAGGGAGCAAGCAGTGGGGATTGGCCACTGGATGGCAGTAGAAGGAAATTGGGTTGAGCAAGAATGTTTAGAAGTGGAAGGAGAAGTTTTAGAGGGTGGTCGGTGAGACAGAAGAAAACTTTAATTATCCATATATGGCAGAGACAGGGCACTTCTGGATGGTAAGTTTCCTGTGGCTCTAAGCCTGATTGATGCAGCCCCCAGATCTTTCTGACTCTTCTGTTCTTTTCCTTTCTGAGGGCTGAGTCCCTTCTGTGTTGTTGTTGCTGCTGCAGCATCATAGTGTCTGTTTGTGATCTTGCACAAAAGTGCTCCCCATCCTGGGTATGTGCGTATGTCTGTTGCGGGGGTAGGGGGGAACAATTCAGAAGTTGGTGTGGACGTGGTGGAAACAGCTATCCCAGGATGATCAGCCTGTTAAAACCATAGCAGGATGGAGAAAGAAAGTTGGGGGGGGGGGGGGAGATGGATGACATGAGGGAGCCTTCCAGAAGGAATAAGCAGTTCTGTATTTTTTCATGCAGAGATGCAAGGAATAATCAGAAGTACTTTTACACTGAGGTCATCTGAGGGCATTCTCCTCGTTGTTCCCATGGCTCATCTGGATCCTTCATGTGGCAGCCCTACCAGCATGGACTTCCCTGCCTCTGACAGTCAGGCCTCACCCATACTCTGCTGTTTTCAGTGACTGCTGAAGGCATCCTTGCTCCAGGAAGCCTTGGTTTTTTTTGGCAGACTAACACTATCCAATTTTTATTGCTTTCACTCTTTTATTTATTATTTATTTGTGCTGTTCACTGCTCTAGAATCTGCTTAGAGATGGATTGGTATACAGCAAATACATCAGTACAAAGTAAATCTAAATGCTTAGTAAATATATACAAATATATAAGTAAATATATGTAAAGTGAATGATCTTTGTATACCGTTTACCATGCAGTGTTCATTAAGGAACGGTTTAGAAAAACTTTAAATAAATAAATCCAATGGAAAATGGAGAACTGTCTCCCCAGGACCTCAAAACTGCTTGTCCATTGCTCACTGGAGTTCTTCTTACACATGTCTAGCAACAAGTGGCACAATCCCCACATTGGACAACTAGAATTGCTTGAGCAATCAAAGAAAAAGGCTGAACAGTCTCCTCGTGACTTTGCCTAGCAAGGTGGCACCTCAGCCAGTCTGAAAATCAGAATTAGTCCCCCCGGGAGGGGGAGGTTGAGAAAGCTACACCTGGCTAGAAATGTAGGTGGGAGGCTGAGCAAGGGGGTTCCAGAAAAGGAGAGAGAGCAAGAGCAGGAAAGAACCTGAAAGAGAAAGAGAGACTAGGGCTGTCTTCCCTCCCCGCACTGGCTCTGCCCTAAGCAGTTCTTGATGGATGCCGTCCTCAGCAGGGGAGAGGCTCCCTGCCCCTGGTGTGCAGAAATGTAGGGAGAAGCGGGGTGCACTTGAATGGGGGGCAAGAGAAATCATGTCTATAGAGCAGGGATGCTGGGATGCAGAAAGCACAAGAGGTTCTGGGAAGTGCTGGGATGAATACGAGGCCCTGGTAAGGATGGAAGCTGGAAACCAGGGAAAGGGGGGAAAGGGCAAGCCAGGGGATGAGAGGGGAACGGGTGGAAGGGAGGTTAGTGGATGATCTAAAATGAGAGAGGGGATTCCCAAGACAGGTGGGGCTGGGTTAAGAGCATCAGTGCACCAGCCAGCATTCAGAAATAGTGCAACAGGGATATCTGCTTGGTAAAGTGCTGAGCTTGGCGCTCTGGCCCACCATGTCTGCTGCAGGAATTGTGCTGGTGAAGAGCATCTCTGGCCCTTCCTCCCGACTGATCTCCCACGACTGCCTTTTCCAACGATCTCTCTTTGCTCTGGGTTGCAGGGACCTCGTGGTGGACATGGGCAGAGCGCCGACAAACGCCCTGGTGCTGTCCATGGTGCTGGGCTGTTCAGCTGTCCTCATGGATTCTTTGCTGCCAAGTTCAGGGGAACCCGTGGTGAATGTGGCGGTGGTTTTTGGAGGCTCCTCATACCCTCTGCACATCCGCAGCCGGCTGACACACCAAAGCTTCCTGGACATGCCTCTGGAGATCCACCCCATCACTGTGGTAGTGAACGACACCAACCCCAGCACTCTCCTGACCCAGATATGCGACATGCTGGCCAGCACCAAGATCCACGGGATCGTCTTTGAGGACAACATCGGCACAGAAGCCGTAGCACAGATCCTTGACTTCATCTCGTCCCAGACTCATGTACCTATCATTAGTATCAGTGGAGGATCTGCTGTGGTTCTGACACCCAAGGTGCAACCTCTTTGTTATTTTGAGCGATTAGTCTGGGAAAATGAGTAGAGAACAGTATTTTTAAGCACATGTTTTATATATCTGACTATGCTGCCTTCTAGGTTACAATTCCTCTTTGCTGAAAGCATCCTTAACTCAGTAGAGGCCCACCACCTATGGCAATTTGCAACTGCTAAGATTTTATTTCCTCTTAAACTATACTGAACTGCGTGGCTTGACTCCTTTTGGACTTTTAAACCTGCAAGTTTAAGTTGTAAGAGTTACAGGTTGGGCAGCTGAACAGGTGGGCAGAGAAGCTGGTGAGCAATGGGTTAAGTAAACTCCAGGGAATTTAGCCCTCCAAAGACGAAGTGAGCTCCAGAAATCCTCGCATGCAAATGCTGAACACCTACCTGCAAGCTGTGCGGGGCCAAGGAAGGCTGTTGCACGAGCAGTCCCTGCCTCGGCGGTGTTGCAGGTGTTGTGGCTCCACTCAGTGGGGAGCAGAGGCCCTGATCCTGCTCTTAAGTGTGCTACTGCACTCAGTTGGCCTGCCTTCCCCAACCTGTTGCCCTCCACATGTTTGGGTCTATAACTATAATGGTTCCTACCAGTGGCTATGCTGGTTGTGGCTGGTGAGAGTTGAAGCCCAGAAAATCTGGATGGCACCATGTTGGAGAAAGTTGCAGTAAGCACTCATCTCCTGTAATGGGCCCATCTCCTTGCCTCCTTTGGCTGGCCTCTCATTCAAGCAGCCAATACCTTTAAATATCTCTGCTCTTGAGCCTCCTGCTGGAACAGCAGCCAGACATGCAGGAATCTAGCAGGTTAGTCATTTTCTGGGCTGGAGATAAAATAACAAGAGTGTCACCTGCTGAATTCCCCTGTGCCAGGCTACTGTTACAGCACGTAGTATCAGAGCCATAGGGACACTGGCTCTTGGCAGACTGCCCCTGGGCTGGCTGGGCTGGGCTCTGGCGGGCCCCGGCTTAGGATATAAAATCCTGGGGCCAGTGGGGCAATATCCCAGAGCCCCAAATGGCAGGTGCTGGGCATTCTGAAGGGAGGGCTGTGGCTGCGTGGAGAGCACCTGCTTCTCACACAGAGCATCACAGAGGGAGAGCTGCTGCCCAAAACCATGGAGAGCTGCTGCTGACAGCCAGTGTTGACAACTCTGGACTTGACAGGTCCATGGTCTGCCTCCGAACAGAGCAGTTTCGTATGTTCCCAGGACTCCTGTGTGCCTCTGGGCATCTTTCTTGGCATCCAACACCTCCAATTTAAAGAAGAAAATGGTGTTTCTTACCAGCAGCTGGGATCAATCACTTCAAAGCAAAGTGAAGGCCTCGGGCTGCTGCCAGCTTCGTTTCCCATGGGTGCCTCTGGGCTACATAATGGGGCTTGGAGGCATTCTTAGGAAATGGAGATGGTGGGTGGCTGGCTGGCTGGCTGCAGATGGATGCTTTTCTCTGTAGGGTGTCTCCAGCCAAGAAATAGAAGGGGAAAGGAGGGTACTTTGAACGGTTTCAAAGGAGCAGCTCAGAGTGTTGGCACTCTGACCCCACCTGGAGCGTGTATTTATTTAGTCTTTTGGGCAGGTGACTTGTCCTTTGCCATGGCTCCCTTGGCAGCCATTTTAGGGTGGTGCCCAGGACAGTTCCATAAACTGCCACTTTGAGCACGGGCCCCAAAAGGGCTGCTGGCCTTGCTGCATAGGACCCAAGCCTCCCTCATTCCCATTCTGATAGAATAGATGGTTCTATAAGAAAGCGAGCTTCCTGGACTCTGGAAGATCCCCAGGAGTAAGTTTTGGTTGTTTGCTGGCTGGCTGGCTGGCTTTTAAAAATGTATCTCCTGCTTGCCTTACAATTTTCCAAATTGAAAATAAAAAATTCAAAGTAGCTCTGGAAATGATTCCCCTTCCCGCATGGCCTTATGAACAACCAAGACAAATGTAACCAAAAAGTATCAGGAGAATGGAAAGGAAAGGACAGGGCAGGACAGGACAGGAAAGAAAAGTTGTCTTTCAGCAGTGGAATGAATCAGTTAATCACAAAATGACCCTGCAAACAGAAAAGTCTCTGATTAGTGTCTAAAACCCAGAAAACCCAAGTTGGGCTCCCACCACAGAAAAAGGCTTTTTCACCCAAGTGTTCCCTAACCTCTGATGACAGGGGTACCTGGAGAAGGCTCTCCAATTATGATCCCAATGCACAGGTTCAGGTCAGGACAGGTGTTCCTTTGGGATTCCTTTCATCCACTGCAGGTGCTATCAGGAGCTCTGGCTCTGTGTCAGGCAGGATCATTACAATAACATATACATGCTTGGTGTTTGCTGCATTCTTGTAATAAGGTTAATTGAGCGATTTGTAATGGTTTGTGAGCAGCTCTTGGCTTGTAGGCATCTCTGGCATGGTGCTCTTTCTTGTTCCTGCTCGTTGCTTGTGGCACCCTGTGATTCAGATAATTTGGATTCATTTTTAAGTGAGGGGATTGTGAAGGTGGATGTTGCATCCCCCTTTAGGATGGTGTGTGGTGGGGGGAGATAAACCTATGATCTAAGTACAGTCTTTGCTCTGAACAGGTTACAACATTTAGAGATGTTGGAGAAATCCTCAATGGATTCGAATGAATGCATACTTCCGTGAATCCAACATGTGGATTCTGCAGCAGACTGGTGTTTTCTTAGTTGTGTAGATTCCACTGAGTCAAAGATTTTTAAAAAATCGGGGGTCAATTTGTGCACTAGTGCAAGTGGAACAAAACGCTTACACATTTCTAAAAAAGGTCCAGGTCAGCCAATAATCTGATGATGGAATGAATGATGCTTGGCAATCAGCAACATACAGCCCTGCTATTATCCATGTAAATGTGGCAGTCTATAAGCTCTGCAGCTCCCCATACACATTGAACCAGGCTGTTGCACAGGGATGGAAAAACTCTTTTACTCAGAGAGAAAATTTAGTACTTGGGGGCTCCATTCCAGGGTGGGGGGCAAAGGCATACAGGTTGAGGCCACAAATATTAATAATTTAATATTAATATTAAAAGGTGGCTTTGCATTAGTTTATTTAGTTGAAGGCTTTCACTGCCAGTGACTAAGCCTTAGAAAAGGCATTTCAACTTTGCAGAATAGGGGATATAAACCTGCACAAGAGCTGGGAACCTCCAAAATATTGGTGATTAGAGGAGAGGGAGCAGAGCTGGAAGGAAGGGGCCATGGCCATTGGCAGACCCCTGGAGGTCCAGATTTGGCCCCCATGTCTGAGGTTGCGCACCCCTGCAGGGGCCTTCATGCCATCACACTTCCTTTCTCCTATGATGAAAAAGTGTGATAGCTATTTCTTCTGGCCACAGGAGATCGTCTTAATAGTTCTCACCAACTGGAAGAGGGGGCCCTCTGTCCTGACAACCAGCATCCCGTTTCCCGGGTCAAAATGATCCTTGCAATGTGCACAGACTGCATGTTTTCAGCCAACGCTTCAACCAACCATTTCTCATTTCTGCGGTGTTGCTTAAACTATTTTGGCAAGAGAAGGGAAAGCAGCTAAACCTCCTTCGATTATAGAATGCCTAATGAAAGGCCTTTCATTGCTGAAATGGGGAGAAATGGACTGCTGTCTTGATTCATGGACACAAAGGGAGGTCTGTGGCCAATGACTTTGTCAATACGTGCTATCTGTGTATTGATTTCTGGACCAATTATTCCAAACAAGTCCTGACAAGTATTGCATCTTCCTTCCATGGTAACTTCTAACGTTCAGATGAGCCCAGTGCAAGGCTCCCCAACTTGGTGCCCAGCAGATTTGTTTGACTGCAGTTCCAGCACATCTGATGAGCAACAGATGCTGGGGGAAGGTGGCCTGGTGGGAAAGCAAGTCAGATGCAATCCGTTTTGCCTCCCTCCCAAAATACTGGGGCACGGCTCAGATTGGCAATGCTTCATCCTGCCCAGGCAGTATTTTTGTCTGAAACCATCTGCCCAAAGCATAGGACAGCACACTGCAGAGCCTGCTGTGGGGCACTTCAGTTCCTTGCAGGTGGATTGTGCACTGGGCAATTATCTTTAGCTTGCTGGCTCACCACAGGTGTCAGTGCTGGTTGCTGTCATCTTGCTTATAGGAAAATGTGAATGGTTCCTCTGCCATATTTCATAGAATCATAGACTCATAGAACAGTAGAGTAGGAAGGGGCCATCAGGTCCAACCTCCTGCTGGTGGAGAACACCAGTTTACACTATCCCACTGCAATGAGTTAGTTGCTTCTTGAATGCTTCTAGTATGGGAGAGGCTACTACCTCCCTAGATAATATTTTCCATTTTTATACTGTTCTGACCGTGAGGAAATCTTCCTGGTAGCTAGCCTGAATCTGGTTTCTTGTAGCTTAAGTCTGTTATTCCATGTCCTGCACTCTGGAATGGTCCAGAAGAAGTCCTGTCCTTCCTTGCAGTCAGCACAATCTGGTTTTATTTCTGCAAGACCAAGCCTGGGTGAATGTGTGTGACACATATTATGGGAGGGTGGGAGATCTTCATTAATTAGGAGTAATGAGGATCTCCCTCCTTGAATCAGTCTTTTTCCATTTCCCAAGCCCCACTAGGGCTCATTCCCATATTGACAGGTGTGCAATAAAACTATCTGTGAAAATATTCACAGGTAACTGATAATAAGGTCTTGCTGTCCAGCTAAAAAGGGTCCTGGTTCCTAACAGGCTGGCCAAATGAGGCCATGCCTTCTAGTGAGCCAGTGCACCCACACAGCCCCTGCTCAGCCCTTTCAGTGGCTCCCTGCTGCGGCAGCTGCCTTGACATGGCAAGCTGTTCATCAGTTAGATGAATGGTGTCAGTCACCCAGAGTGGCGGGCTTGGGCCAGCATGGTGATGAGACTTCTCACGTGAGCCGAGCCATCCTTCCAGAGGAACAATGTGCCCCAGAGAAGTGGACACGGCGTGGAGGAACCAGCAGGCTAGTGTGACTGAGGAGGCCCCAGGGCAGCCCCTGTGGTGCTCCCCGTGGTGCTGCATACCCTTTTGGAAAAGCTTTAAAAAATCTAACCTTGGACCTTAAGGCAGCTGCCCCAATCTGGTGCCCTCCATCACCCCAGCAGCTGTGTATTCCAACATTTCCGGGAGCACTAGGCTGGGGAAGGCAAAGCTGCAGTGATCCTGCCCATGCCCCCGTTTCAAGCCTCATGGCATGTCTGCAGGGCTGTCCCAAGAATTTATGGGGCCTGGGGTGGACGTGAATACATGTGTGTGCGTGCATGCTTGCGTGCGCATGTGCATGGTATGCCTATCTGGTGACCAGTGTGGAAGGACCAGAGCAGGGGCCATTGGTGCATGTGCCTTTTAGAAACATTCCTTTATTAGCTCATTCATTACATTTCCAGGCCACCCAACAGCCAAACCTCTCTAGGCAGTTCACAGCACGAACATGCAGTGATGACCATATTGCATTCCCTCCTCCTCATCTCCCTGCATGATGCATCTCAGCAGCGGTTCACAAATGTTGTACGAATCACAACCAAGAAAAAGATCTGAGCTTTCAAGGACATAACTGGGAATTCTTTAATGCACGTGAAAACAGCTTCAGAGTTTTTTCCAGTCCGTTTTTGCCTGGCTTCACTTTACGTTGTTGGCTTTCACTTTTGTTATACAAGAAAATCACCTGATTTTTCATTGGCTGCATTTGGATGTAACATTAAATTATGGTGAACAGGTCTCATGCTCGTATATTTCCTCTCCTCTCTCCTCTACTGGTGCAACTGTGAGGAAGATATCACATGAGGGGTTTATGTGAGTTTAGCACTGTACAGTTTAACACTACAGTTTAGCACTGTATCTGAACCCTAAACAGTGCTTAATCTTAACTATGACTTATTTGAATAAACCAGCTTCATAATCCACAGCTGAAATTGATTTATTTTATTAAACCACAGTTAACTGTAATTACAGTTTATTGGACATGACACTAAACTTAGCTCATAGGGTGTCAAACCATTATTAAATTTTTAGTTCAACTGCTGTTCAAGTTTGTTGATATAAGGTTAAACCACAATTTAATTTTTGGGATCATGGAACCTGTGCAATGTTTAAGCTTGTCAAAACAAACCTGAGGAAAACTCTCTGAGGCAAATAAGCTGAAGCCTTATAGAGAGACACCCTTTATAGAGAGAGTGCCTTTCCTCTTACCTTGCCCAGTCACTGAGGCCATCAGACGGCATGCGCCTTGATTTCCTTGACTGACCAGCCATGTTTTATATGTGTGTGTGTGTTGTGTTTTATTCCTTATTTTGTTGCTCATTACTCATCCAGAATCTGGAGTAGCACATAAGCTTTGTAAATGAGCAAGTACATGCTCCATTAGCCTAGGCTGTGAGACTGAGCCCAAACCCTTTTACCCTCAGCCACCCAGTGTGGAACTTCAAAGGTGTCTCAGGCCACCTGCCTCGATCAGAACTGGTACAGCACAATCCCAGCAGCCTTCCCCTTGGCGTTGCTGTCATGGATTCTCCTGATCTCTGCGTGTGATCAAGAGGAGCTAAGGGGGACACACGGCACAGAGTGGAGAGGCTGCACAATATAAGAACGTCTGGCCCGCCATCTCATCAAAGAGTTCAGCAGCCTCTAGCTGTCTAACTCTCAAGTGCATAGAAGTGGGAATCAAATTATTCTCACAAAGCTGGATCCTTACAATTTTTTTGTTTAGAATGATACTGCTCATGATTTAGATCAGATCAGCTAAAAGTTAGTAAACAAAGCCCTTGTGACTGGACTTCTCCTGTCAATAGAAGCTGCAATTTTAGATCTTATGCTGTTCCTTGCCACCATTATCTCCAAGTGTAATGACAGCTGTGTCAACTGTTTGAGCATCTTCGGTGTTGTACGACACTGTGAGTTCTGTTCATGGGGACATGTTTAGTTTTCTGGGATACATCCATGTGCATTCTTAGGCTCATGGTATGTAAGATGGGAGTTTAAGTAAAAGACAGATGATATTTCAGAATTCCTTGCACCTTGTGCAGCTTTTTACTACACGTAGATGCCTAAGAAAGTCTGTTGCAATGCACTGAGAGCTGAGGAACATTGAAATTTGCTGCAAACCAAGTCTGACCAGTGGTTTCCCTGGCTCACTGCTCTCTAGATGAACAGGCAGCAGTTCTCCAGCATTTTGGGCAAGGACTTTTCCCAGCCCTACTTGGAGATGCTGGGGATTGAACAGGGGACCTAGCACATGCTGGGCATGTGTTCTGCCACTGAGCTTTCTCCAAGCCTGAGTGCCTGCTAGCCCAAACTGGTGATTTGGTTTCCTTGGAATGCTCTTTTTTCCCAAGGAAGATTCTTCTTCAAGGTCTTAGCTGACTTTGATTTGATGGCAGCATTGTATTTTCTTCATTTTCATTCAGTCTTGACTTCTGCAATTGATCTGGGATTATAGGCCTTTTCCTGTCTTCTTTGGAAAATTGGAAGACACGTCCTGTTTCTCCCATGACAACTCATACCTTCTGTTACCTTCTTCAATTACAAGGCAGATCCTCTTGCACCCTCACTACCAATTTATATCCCACTAAATCTTTGTTATCTGAGGCTTCCTCTTGTCTGGTACTGCTGTACATCTCTTTCAGAAAACTATTTGGAAATGGCAATGGCTTGCTTTGAAAAAAATTGCTGAATTTCCATACGAATTTCTACAAAACAAAACAAAAACCAGCACTGCCTTTACAAATGTTTCAAAGATAAGTGCACATGAATTAAGACTAATCCATGAGAAGACCAGATGGGGCCAAAGGGGACAATTAGACATGGAAGAAATGAGATAGTTATCAGACAGATACAAGCTGAGAAACAGAGTCTAACAGACTGGATACTCTGAGTGCATTTTTTTCTTTGAAAATACATCCCTCCATTTTCTGCTTAGCACTGCCAATCCCCTGAGGAAAAATGTGGTCTTACCTGGCAGAACGAGTCATGGTTCAACTCGCATGGTTGTCTGAGGGTGCTGAGATTTGTAGTCCAGCACAAATGAAAGGATGAGTTGGAATAGCTGATACAGGAAATGGGTGACTGAGGTAGAGTGAATAAGTACAAAAGTGCTGGGAACATCTCTTGCCTTCATGCACTATATCACAAGGGTCAAATAATTCGGCTTCACAATAGACTTGCAGGTGAATTCCTGTTGAAAAATGCAGGTGACTCTGAACTGCACTGATAGCTCTGCTGGTGGGCTCAGACATATGCAGTGAAGAGGTCACAAAGCTGGAAGCCAAAGGAATACTATGAAGAGAGTCTGCTACGGAGATTCCAAAAATGCCAGAAGTGCTGCTGATTTAGATCTATATATTAGTGAGTGCACATTTTGTGTGAATATGCTTGCACGTTGGACTTTGGTTGGAGGGATTGAGGCTGTTTGAGAAAGAGAAGGAGACGACATGCTTCCAAAACGATGTGAGGCCACTAGATTCAGAGTGTCCAAGAGATCCTTTTCCACTCAGCTATGCAAGGACTGCAACTAAGCTGATGGGAAACAGGGAAGTCTAAGGTGGGTGGCAGATGATGTTGCCGTCCTGCAACTAAAAAAATCCTGATCCTCAGCCCTTCAAGCCCTGGCTCCACTACAGGAACATTTTGCCTTCTTAGGTCTTTACTTTGAAAAAGACAATTCGGACACACAGTTGCTAATGCTTTCACCTTCCCTTTCCCAGGAGCCTGGCTCTGCTTTTCTACAGCTGGGTGTCTCCATTGAACAGCAGATCCAGGTGATCTTCAAGGTCTTGGAGGAATACGATTGGAGCTCCTTTGCTGTCATCACCAGCCTATATCCAGGATACAGCATCTTCCTAGATGTGATACGGTCCTTCACAGATGCCAGCTACTTTGGCTGGGAGATCCAGGATGTCCTGACCTTTGAGATGAGCCAGGATGGGAGCAACACCAAAATACAACGGCTGCTGCGCCAGGTAGATGCACAAGTGATGCTTGTGTATTGCTCCCGCGAGGAGGCCGAGTACCTCTTCCAAATGGCAGAGCAGGCTGGCTTGATCGGACCTGGCTACGTCTGGATTGTGCCCAGTCTGACCGTGGGCAACATGGATGTCCCACCCCTCTCTTTCCCCATTGGCCTCATCAGTGTGGTCACAGAGAGCTGGAAAATGAGCCTGAGGCAAAAGGTCCGGGACGGCGTGGCGATCATCGCTCTGGGAGCAGAGAGCTATTTCAAGACCCATGGCTTCCTCCCCAGGGGGGGCAGAGACTGCAGCAACAAGAACCCTTCTCGTTTGCCCACAAACAACACTTTCTACAGGTCAGTATGAGCAACAGCCTACTAAGCAGCCCAGGTGAAACCCCCCAGCTGTGGGCACATGTCAGAAATGAGACTTGGATTAGCAGAAGTCTTCTGTAATTTCCAGTCTTGGGTGGGATGGTTTAATGTCGAACATAATTGGGAGACTTACAGGGGCTTCTGCCTCAGGAAGGTGCAACCCAACGGATCATGCCCCTAGGTTTCCATATATTTGTGGGGAGGGGAACTGGATCTAGAAATTCTTAGACATCTGAAGTCAGGTTTCTCCAGATACAAAATGTTTGCATGTCTATCTTATATAGAATGGGCAAAGGCAGTGGAAAAGGAGACATGTAAAAGGGGGTAACAATGGATGGGGCAAGGCAGAAGAAATAATTTGCAGGGTACATGCATCTTACCCCTCAAGAACCCCACGACCATACTGTGTTTCTGAGCATGCATCAGAAATGGCCTCTGTGTGGGTTCCAGCTGTCTTCCACAATGGTTAAAAAAAAAAAGTGGGGGGGGGGACAGAAACGGCCACACAGTTTCACTAAGAATTCTGCCCCAGTACCAGATTCAACAGCCAGCCATTATTTCTTAAGTGTAAGTGGAGAATTTTGGCATTCATCTTACTGCCACCTGCTTGACTGTTACTCAGATAAAGATATCCTGATCAAAGTTCACGATGCTTTATGAAAAAGCCTAGGCACGAGCAGGCAGGTCTCCGTTCTGAGGAGATTGCAATCTAAATGTTGACAGCAGGAGTGATAACAGACGGAGAGAAGTTAAGGGAGGGAAAGAAGCGGCGGCGGACCAATATGGTCAATTAACAAATGCACTGGCAGTTCAGCGTGTGTTTTCCTGGCAAACAGTGCACAGGGACTGCATGGAGAACGGGTGTTTGTGAGCCCATTTGTTTCCCCCACAGCCACCCCTGCTGCACACGTGCATGTTGGCGATCCATTGCAGGGTGCCGTAAACTGGGCTGAGAGCGTTGCGAAACGAAGGAGCGATGGCTCTCTGCTGCTGAGGCAGGTGGGCTGACATTCCCTCGCCAGGTGAGCTGGAGGATTGGCACGCTTCGCCCTGGCAGTAGGGATCTGTTCCCAGTTCCCTTCCAGATAAAGAGTCAGAGCTGTGTGAGGGCATAATTTGTCCTTGGTGACATCACCCCACAGCTGACCTGGATTATCTATTTTATTTATTTTTATGTATTTAAAGTTTTTATATGCTGTCCTCTACAAAAGTGTCTGGATGACTTACAAAAACAAAACAAAACAGCCACATACAACAAATTAGATTAAACAAATAATTAGAATTTAGATTAAAAACATGGATTAGCCATGACTCCATGATTTCTGATGGGCTGGAATTATATGATCATGGAGAAGAAATAACACTGAAACAGTTGACAAGAGAAGAAACAAAACAGCTGGTGAACAGCTCCAAAAAAAAAAAAAAAAATACTTTGGGGGATTTCTTTCTGGTAACGCTTAGGCTCTCCCATCCTGAAAACCATGTGTCCCCACCCAGAATGTTCAGCCACAGACTCGGGCTCAGCCCTCCTTGGGAGCAACTGAACATTTGGACCGGTTTCATATGTTTATTGCACTGCAAAAGAGAGCCATGGTTGGTACTGGCGCAGAGGATACATCTCCACCATCACCATCAGTAACATTTACGCATCGCTTTCCACTGCCAAAAGCCATCTCAGAGCAACTTGCATGCACAAATACAGAAATCCATGATTAATATATCAGAGGAAGAAACACAAAATCAATATAAAGTATAATCTGCACAATGAAACTAATAAAATAACATCATAAAAGCAATCTAAAAACGATATCATATGAAAAGTGTTCACCTACGGGGAATAAAATCTCTTCCCACCTCCCATCACCCCCACTGCCTCTGGAATGAGCACAACTAAAGCAGTCCACAACAACTCAGCCATAACTAATGGCCAAATCTCCGCGAAAATAAGTATGTCTGTGCTTGGCACCAAAAAGATGACAGTGTTTTTGTGATTAACATGTAATGAATGTTCATTTCACACACCACAAGGTCTGCACATGGCGGAGACGCAGGGTGTTTGTTATTTCTATCAAGTGCAAAGTCCTACAAAGAGTTACCTTGCCTAAAATTACACAGTTGGCAGAAGAGCCAGTCCATCTCTTCTGCTTCACCCAATCAGCTGGAATCAGGCCTTCCCGCCTTTCCCAAATCCCAGCTCTCTCCGCTCTTGCTTTTCCTGGTGCTAATACTCCCTGCCATAGCTTCAAATGGGCCATGTGGTCACTGGTGTGCAGGTGACAAGAGAAGGGAGAATAGGAAGGCATTGTGAGCCAGCAGGACAACAAGGCTTTAAAGTATGGAGAAGCCATCTGAGCAAAACGCTGTTTAATTTCCAGGTTTTAATGAGCACTTCTGGTGTGTGACACTCAGTAATTGGGTAACAGCTTTAGCTTGGGTGTTATGCAAATCTAGGGCTTTGATTCTGATGGGGAGTTGGTCCACTGAATCCTCAAAGCACTCTATGAATACAAATTGTCTACAAATAAATGGGACCAATGTTGGTGGAACAAGCTGAAGATCAACCCCATGGTGCTGGAGGCCTTGGAAGCAAGAGATGTGGAGGAAAGAGACAACAGGAAGTTGGTGCAGAAGTGGGGATGCTGGCCAAAGGGGGCTGAATGGGCGTCGATAGCCAGGTTCAGGGCAAAGGGATGCATGTGTCTACTGCTTGCCGGCCTGTTTCTGGAGCTCTTTGGCTCTGCAGTCGTCCCTCAGGAGGGAAGCTGCTGCTTGCAGGGTCCCTGCGGCCAGCTTGGGGAGGGGGAGCGGGCGCATGGTCTTCTTCAGCAGCAGGGGCTTGCTCTGGCTAGAGAAGGAGGGTGGGAAGAGAGCAGGCGCTTTGGCTCTGCTGTGCTCGAAAGCCACAATTCCATAACTGTGGCATAAGCAGCCTTTGGAAAGATGGTGCAGTTCATGGAACTGGAGGAAAACGGCTCCTGCCGAAATAAGAGTTCGAGGGACCTCTCTTGCATCTCAGTCCCCTGGACCAGCTGGCCTTTTGCCCACTGGGCCTTCCCCTCCCGCTGCCCACACCCTTGCATCTTTCTGCCTGGGATTTTTTCTGAAATCAAATGCCCCCTTTGCCCTGTCCACACATCCCTTCTTTTTTCTTCCTGTTGGAATGTGCTTAGGGGACATGCGTGCTTTAAAGGAGAGCCTGAGGCAGCTGCCCCAGCTGATCTGGGACATGACGAAAAAGCACTTGGATGTATTAATGATTCCGTTCTCATTGTCATGGGAGGAGAGAGCGGTGGGGTGCGGTGGGATTTTCTGCCCCAGCACTGGGTGAACCCTGCTGGCCTTGAGTCCTGCTGCATGACTTGACTTGCCGGGGGTCGTGAGGCGAGGCTCTCTTTGTTGCGCTGCCTCTCCTTTCCTTCTAGAAATCAGAACATAAGGACCATTAAAGATATGTTCTAGAATCCCAGAAATAATCCAAATGAAGTCTTGACAATAAAATGAGGGACTACCTTTGGTTGAAGCTCCCTCTTCTTTACCACCTCATCCAGGGACCTGCTGTTGCACTTGATGGTGAAGGAAGGGCTGAATAAGCTTGTCCTCTATAAAGTCTGCATTATACTAATGTAGCACGCGCGCGCGCACACACACACACACACACACATGCAAGTTTTTTGCCCCAAGGACGTGAGAGCTCTGAATCTCTTTGGTACAGAGCTTATGAGGGTGGCTCTCATTCTTTTTCCAAGCAGTCTCCTTTTTCTCTGGATGATGAGGTCCCGGGGAAGCTCTCTCTGCAAATGGAGAGGCCTCACTGTTGGTCCCTGGGAAGTCCTTCCAGGAAATCACAATACATGAGGTAACTCCCTCCATCTTTTCTCAGGGCATTGCACCTTTTAAAAATTAGTTTCTGAGGGTTCAGTTTCCTCCAAAGCATGCCCAGTAGCTACTATAGTTAAAATATTTCAGTACATTCCAAATAAAAAAATAACAAAATTGTGGCTCAGATTATAACAAATTGTTACAAAAATAACAAAAGAAGAATGCCTGTATTTTCATGCACTCATTTGGGGATTATCGTTTTTTCTTGAACCCCTATATACCCGGCAATCTTTGGTTGTGCTTTTTTGAAATATTCCCTTATTTTAACTTTCATGGGAGGAATCTTTGGTTGCTACTGAAACCAACGCATACATGTGCTGTCACCACTTAAAAAAATGTGCTCCTTTTTCCCTGTGTGCCATGAGAAGCACAGGGGAGATTTTTAAGTTACTTACAGCACGTTGTGGGGTTGACCTACTGGCTTACTGAGGCAGCTTCTTCCATTGTCTTTGCTGGAGAAGAAATGTGTCCCTTGTGCATGTCCCCCCACCCCAAGGTTGTCTTTATCTGCCATTCTATATCTTCGATAAACCAGCCACCATGTTGTGCTGCAGTAGAGCTGCAGTATAGCAGAATTGTGGTTTTACACCAGGCTTTTCTTCCTGTCTGAATCTTAAGAGCTGGCTTTCCTTACTCCAAAATAAGCCCTGAAAAACCCAGGCAAGGCTCTGGAGAGTGACACCATTGCAGAAAGGCCCTGCAAACTTCCGTGCATGAGAATTTGCAAGCACACAATAAATGTCTTGCGTGGCAAAGCGCCTAATGTATTTTCTTTACACACACATACATACTGGTAATATTTTTATACTATATCTGTATTTATTAGGGCCGAGACACATGTAGATCCAAAGGAGACCTGAAACTGTGTGGATGGGATTTGAGCTCATTTTTTACAGTACGAGCTCCTGAGACGAAGCAGGAGTCGGAAGGCTGGTACTTCACAGCCATTTGGCCATTTCCTTTGTGGCTGCCACATACTGCCTTCCCCTTGGGAAATGGGATGCACCTGAGCTGCCTGCCTGAGATGGGAAGAGGCTGCCACTCCGAGGCATTTTATTTCCCAGTGGCAAAAAGAGCATTCTTTGCAACTGGAGGAAGGCAGGAGAGACAGCAGGGGATCTGCAGGGAGGCAACTCAGATGTCCAGTGCCTGGTTTCCACTGCTGTCAGTGCCACCACCTCCTGCTTAGGGATGGGGAAGGAATTCATTGTAATATGAATTCACCAGATTTATACTTCCCAAATGAATCCATGAACCAAGATGCAATTCTCCTTCAATGCTTGCACTTCGGCAAATGTTGCGAAGCAATTATCTGATCGATGCAAGCATTTAAAAGGTGCACAGTAGGGGAAAATTGCACAAAAATGCATACATACATACAGAGAGAGGCAAATGGAAATAAATATAGCTGTTTGTGAGGGCTTTTTAAAACCAAAAATGTATAAACTGAGGCAGAAACAGGAGAGCGTAAGCTTGTGCTTCCAAAAGTTTGAAAGAAGCAGAAAGTAGAACAGACATGTTTGCCCTTTTTTACTGTTGCTGTGGCTAAGAAACCATGTCCTGGCCACAACCTCCCTCCCACCCTCCACCTTGGGTCAGTGTCACCCCCAAGAAGAAGGGCTGACCAGTTCAGAGCAGCCATTGGCTTAGCATCACAGTTTTCAATGCATTGCTGTGCCTTGGCATCACTTGCAAGTGAATTTGGGTGACTGTCCGTCTTGGGCCTTCTTAGTTGAGCATTTGAAAAGCTAGGCCTGGCTGTGTTGAAGAAGACGGGTCCCACTCAGGTACACTTATAGTCTAATATAGTCAGCAAACCACGAAAAGAATTAAATGTGGAGGATCTGCCAATTTTGAGATGTTTCTATCAAATGTGCAGATGAGAACATGCTGCTCTGATCGGGCATCCCAGTCTTAAGCTATGTGGAGATGAGTCCAATTCTGGACTAGATCAGAATTGGACTAGTCCAGATTCAGCTCCCTGCTTGATGGTTAAGCCGTGCTTTGGGGCAACTCAGCCTTGTTTAATCTAGCCTGGCTCAGAGGGCTAGTGTGAAGATTACAGTGGGGAAACTCCATGCATGCTGCTCTGAGCTTCTTGGGGAAAGGGCAAGAGCTGCAGCCACACTTCCTGGTGGTACCATACCTGGATTTCACCACCTGTGAAATCCTTTGAAATGCGTCCCTCCATTTTCTGCTTAGCACTGTCGATCCCCTAGGGGAAAATGTGGTCTTAGGTGGCAGAAAGTATCGTGGACGCTTGTCCAAAATACACATTAGTATTTTTATTCTGAAAATACTGACACCTGGGAGGTTGTTGTAAGGTCAACATGACAGAGAGAGGAGGGAAAGCACCTGCCTTCTTGGAAGAGGAAGGAGCAAGTCTGTTACACCGAGGACTGAAGGCAGAATGCTTACTGCTTTCCTTCATGCACTCTCAAGGTACTTTCATTGACTCTCAACAGGCATTTGCTCAATGTGACCTGGGAACACAGGGATTTCTCCTTCAACGAAGGCGGCTACTTGGTGAGGCCCACCATGGTGGTGATTTCACTGAACCGACACAGGCTCTGGGAAATGGTGAGGGCTTCTTTTTCTTTCTTCTCATCTTCTTGGTGTGTGTGATCTGGAATGTATCCAGGGCTGGCCTGAGACATGCTGCTGCCAGAGGCTCAACAGCCCCGTATCACATATGTGGGAAGCTGCATTTTACTCCGACTGAGGGCAGCAGGATAGCTTGGAGGGCACAGAGAAGTACACAGACCACCCTGAGGTCCACCTGAGGGGCCTGCTTCACTCTGCCGAATGGTAGGACCAACTGTGAATACATCCGCCTCATTCTGCAGTTAGGGCTTTCCACAGTTCAAGCCCCAGATTATGCAGCTTTAGGGTTTATTGGTGTCATTCCCTATTGCCCATAGTTGAGGCAGGAGGAGATACACAGTACAGAGAAACTGGAGGAGGGAAAGAGATAGTTTTAAGCCAAAGGATTCCATGGTGGAAGCCCCCAACTGTCCTTCCTGTTATCTTTTCTGCTCATGCTTGGCTGTCTCTCTTACTTCTGCCGTCAAGGTGATGGCTTAACTGACAGAATCAAAGCTGAATATGAAGACTTCTTCAAATCTGCATGGCAATTTGATTTCATTTCATAAACAAATTGAAGCACCATGAAATGAAATTTTGGATTCATTTATTCAGTGTTATACAACTAATTTATTTAATTTGCAATGCCTTGGTAATGTATCACATGCTACAGGGCACATAACTCAGTTGGATGAGTGCGCCAAGATGTCCTTGTTTGTGCAAGATTACACCGTTGTTTTCTTCCCCTCACATGGAATTGAATTAAAGATACAAATGGATGAATGATATGAAGGCAAATTGGCCTAAGTAAATTATGCATCGGAGGTAAAGTTCTAGAAGCTCTTGTGCACAAAACTGAAGGCTTCGCAATTAACGGCATCCTTCACCTACTGAAAATAACATGGAGGGAAAAATAGTTTTGGGACGACCCCAACAGAGAGTTAACCCTTGCACTACTCATATCCAGTGTCAAACCCCAGATATAGGGCTGGGGCTTTCCAAAAATGCTCCTCTTCTGTAGGACAATGGATAATGCTCTCCTGCCCTCCCCCGCTGTGGGTTGCTGTCACAAGTATTGCGTGTTAATTCTACATGCTAATAATCATATTTTGTGCCCAAGCTACATTCTTTTGGCTAAGCCCATGCTTCTCAGGCCTGGCCTTACCATTAGTGGAATGAGGCAGTCACTTCAGGGAGCTAATCTTGACTGTCATGAAAGGGCAGCAACTTGTTAGCTTGTAAATTTATGTTTGCATTTTTTTCTCCCAGGGGGAGGGAAAGGTCAGGTTTTCTGCCACAGATGCCAAAATAACTTGATTGTTCTTGGGTATGTGACTTGACTTCAAGGGGTGGGGGAGGCAGCAAAATGTCTTAAACAGGCGCTGTGGTGCAGTTGTGACAGAACATTCCAGAAGATGGCGGCAGGCAGGTTGTGCCATGCACCCAGCTATATTAGAAGGCTCCTTCAGTTGTGCTAGAGTCCAGCAACTAAATACTCTTTTTGCTATCACTCTCCTCCCCTTCCCATCCCTGACTCTACCCATTGTTCTGGCACTGCTGGATGAATTAGCATTTCCAGATTTTTTTACCCTTTCTTCACAAGGAGCAAAAATTTAGGGAGGAAAACAATCTGTTACTTCTGATGACTCTCTCCCTCCCTCCCTCCCTCCGTGTGTGTGTGTGTGTGTGTGTGTGTACGCAAGCTCACATATGCAAAATGATTGTCTCCAATAAATCTTCGTGTTACAAAAAATATCTGGTTAGGTTTTCCATTCTTTTTTGAAGACAGCCATAAATTCGCTGGAGGAGATACAGGAGATCAATTAACTAGTAATGGTGTCAGTTAAGTAGGTGCTGCTGTTTGTGTAAATGTTTTCCATTGACACTTTCCCTGTGTGATCTGGCAGTCTGCAGCTGTTAAAATGGCAGCATTACTACAATTTGTGGTTGAAATCCCATAGTCTTTGTATTGTGTGAGGATGTGCTTCCTCTTTTCTGATTTGAATCTGGCATTGCTCAGCCTCTGTGGATAACTTGCATTGTGAGAGGACTCCTTTTTCTATACAATAGGCTGAGGCCATCTTTGGAGGCCCTACTTTAGTTGTCCCCACCATCACTCCTAGGTGGTCAAAAACTCTCCAGGGAAGCCCACCTGGTGCCTAATTGAAGTTTCCCAGGCATTTAGTGAAAGTCTATTCATTTTCCCAGGCATTTTAGTTGTGAGTTTTATCTCCATTGATTGGTTTTTATTTTTCATTGATTCATTTTTATTTTTCATTGATTTATTTTTATTTTTCATTGAGACAGAATGTGGCAGAGGGGAGTGATAACACTCACTTTGCATTTGAGGTGATTTTTTTCAAGCCTGTTAATAATGAGGCCGGATATAAACATTTTGCAAACATCTCTAATAAATGTTTTTTCCCCTATCTGACTACAGTTTGATCAATACATTACACTTTTTGTTGCCACAATATATAACAATACTTCTCCACTGAAAAGTGAATCAATAAAACATGTAATTTCAGTAAAATAATATCAACTTCAGTGGCTTTTTAAAAAGATCCTGCACTTCTAATTCTGTTGCAAGTATTCCACAGAATACTAGTGCTAATTCTCTATAATGTCCTTCTCTTTTTGCATTGTGAAAGTGGCAAACCAAAGGCCTTGATCGCCACTAGTTATGAACACTGCCGTATCAGTTTCCACAGGCGCAGGCAGGGCGCTTAAAGCATGATAAAAGAGTGGAAGGTTCCTTGTTCGTGGAGTGGTCCCTTTAATCCCTTCTCATGCGTGTGACCGAGAAGAGGGCTTGGCTTCTCTAGGGAAGCAGTTCCAACGGCAGCCCTCGTGCGTGCTGGAGATGCATTACTCAGCCGTTGGCTGCCAAGCCTAACTCGCAGGGATGGAGAGGAGATGGCAGATGGGGGAGCAGCAGACCTGGGGTTAGCGGCAGGCCAGTGTGCATCTCACCTCATTGCTAGAGCTGGGCAAATGTTACAGGACAGAAGGAAAGCTCTGCGCACATCCTTCCCATTTTACATCCAAATGCCTTTTTCTTGGGGTTATGTGCTGTTTATGTCCCATCGCTGTGAGCAAATACCACATCTAGCCAGTTTCTGATAGGTGTTAGATCTTGCATGAAACATTCCAAAATAGATCGAAGAAAAACCAGCCAGCAATGTTTATTAAGAATACGGCACATGAGGCTGTTGACATATTACATGTGTAAGGCAGAACACCTTGGAACTGCGCAGCACACAATTAAAACAAAGCTTTTATAGTTTACCTCACAATCTAACAACTTTCTCAAAGTCCCCATCCCTTCCCAAGGCTGGGAATTGTCCTCCCTCATTCATACCTTATGTAAGGATGACACTTTCAAGATGCCGCTCAAGCACTCGTCTTTGGCCTGATTCCTTCATGTTATCTCTTGTCTAGGACCAGTTCTCCTAGAGCTACATACACACAGGTTTTCTCTCTAACCGTGTATTTGTAAGGACAAAGGAGGCATCATCTTCTCCAACATGGGCCATTTCAAAATGCAACAGAATTAACAAAAGCTAATACAGCAGAATCTATTTCAAAAAGGAGTGATCTCTCCCAGAGCGCACTTGCAGCAAGAGTGCAAATCCAAAAATGAGCTCTGTAAAATTAGGGGGACAGAAAGAACGTATCTGTCTTCTGTGTCCAGACAAAATAGACAGAATGTGAAATGTCCCAGATAGCCAACAGGTCTACTGCTGCCATCAAATCATTTGGCGAATTATTCTAGGTTATAACTGCCTTGAGACTGTAGGTGTTTTTCTCCAGATAGCAGAACAGTTGCCAGCAGCCAGCAATGTGGTGCTCTTTCTGGCTCATTTCACCATGCTGGTTTTCCCAGTGTAGCAGCCACAAAGCTTTCCCTTCCTATCCCCCTTCAGAATCATTTTTAACATAACAAAATTGAAAAATATTCCCTCTTTCTAGCCTCTCTATTTCTGCCCTCCCATCTATTATCTTGCTGTTTTCCCCCCTCCTAGGTTCCAGCCTTACTCTTTCCTCTCTCCTCCGGCCTGTAGCGTTGCCCTTTCTCTCCCTTCTTCTTTACCTTGCTGTTTCTCCCTGGCCTTGCCCTTTCCTTCTCCTCTACCCCTCTGCCTTGCTATTCTGCCCTCTCGCCCAGCCACTGGCCCTGCTATTTCCCCCTCTCTCGCACATGCACTTCTTTGGCTCACTTGTGACCAGCCAGGCCCCCTGGCAGCCATTCCGGAACTAGCCACTTCCCTGAGGGAGCCATTTCATGGTGGGACTCACTGCAGTTCCCCACAGTATCAAATGTGCCCAGGGATCCAAAAATGTTGTGTGTGCATGTTTGTGTGGAGGTACTCTAAGCTGTAAAGCTAAAAGGAGATTTGGCTTTACTGCCTACATCTTACTAGAGTCCTCCAGCATTGACTAAACACATCCTCTTGGCTGTAATATACAACATAAGAGGGCACAGGGCTCAGTCTGAATGCAAAACTGCTAGAGGTATCCTTTCACGTGATTTGAGCTATAATGCTCCTTTCTGCTCTGGCACAGGTGGGGAAATGGGAAAGGGGGATCATCCACATGAAGTATCCAGTGTGGCCACGCTATGGATCCTTCCTGCAGCCAATGGCCGACAATCGGCACCTCACAGTCGCCACCCTGGAGGAAAGGCCCTTTGTGATTGTGGAGAAGACAGACCCGAGCACAGGCGTGTGTGTCCGCAACACTGTCCCCTGCCGGAAGCAGACCAACACCACCGGAAGGTGAGTGTGGCGGAGGGCCGAGGAGGAGCGTTGAAGAGCCGTGGAAGGAAGTTTTGGGGTGTTGGGAGCCTGTTGTATCTTCATGTATATGCAAGTTCAGCAGAAGTAAGCTGTAAACTTTGGATTTGGTTAAGAGGCCATTGCTTGCAGGGGGAACTATTCAAATCCAGATGGAGGGGTTTAATGAAAGGTGTATTTACTTACAAACAAGCCACCTGTGACCTGCATGAGGGAGAGATGTTGGTATCGCCATGCAGGATCTCTTGCTTCACTGCTAGCTGGTTCACTCAGAGAGGAGGAGAGAGAGGCACATAGAAACATAGCAAGTCAGAAGGGGCCTCCTGCTCCAGCCGGCTCTGCTCAGGACATGACTGTCACGCTTCTACTCTCACAGAGGGAGAGGTGGGGGGCAAACGGTCATGTGACCCTTTTGCCTTTCAGGCGAGGGGGGAGAGGAGAAGGGGCAGGAAGGGCACAACTCCCTCAGAGAGGTTAGCCTCCTGTTGGCTATGGCATTAACCCCTTCCTTCCTGCTCTGGTTATTGGACAGAACTGTGCATTGTTAAGTCAGGCCATGTTGCATGTGTCTAACATGGAGGAAGCTTGGCACAAAGCTCTAACTTCGTTCACTTGCATGGTCAGTTTAATTTGGGAAGTGTGGGGGTCCCAACTTCTTATGACCGTTTTATCATGAGGCTGGGCAGCTCACTGGTGCCCATATACCGTTTTTTATACAGCTGGCAAAGTGCTCACCTAGTAGGCCAACCTTGCTCACCCTTTTCATCTTAGAGAATGATAAAACCAAGTGGGTAGAGTCTAGTTTAATCTCTGTGAGTTAAGAGAGATAACTGTATAGCCCAGGGGTACCATTCAGTGCTAGTCTTCTGTAGGAATGGGAGTTAAGTTAGTCACAATTAATATGAATCTAATTCATTTAAGTGGCCCTGTTCTAAGCAGGCTAGCATTGAATACATGTTGGCATAATTCGCTTGAGGGTGATCAAAGGTTAACACTACTGCAGGTTTAATAACAGCTGAACTGGGACTGAGGGTGGCTCCATCCTTTATACAGCAGACCCAATTCTTGTGGTCACAGGAGTGTTTCCTGCAGCAATTCTCTACCACATGAGGTGTGGTGTCTCCATTAGGGGCAGGCCCACTCCTGAAGGGGAGGGTACAAATCCCACTGAGTCCTTCTGTGCTATTCTTAGTAGTACTTGGGCTGGATACTCGCACTTACACTGCCTTGGCCACGCATCTCCTAGCTCAACTAATGCCAGGTTTGGACCCTGACCAGACTTGGAAGTAGACCTTAAGCCAAGGGAGTTGATTCTCAGGCTTTTGAGGCAAATCTGACCCATCTAGGGCCCCGGTCTGGTCTTCTGGGGTTCCCCAGATAGCCTTGTGCCCTTTCTCCACTACTGGCAGACTGGTGGCTTCCATGGGTCTGCAGTATCCCCCCCCCGCCCCCCTGCAAAGGATGAAGCACCTCTCCTAAGTCTTGGTTACTGGCAGCAAGAGCTTGAAGCCAGCCTAGGCTGGTGTTTTGGTCCTGCCCCTTTTGTTTCTGGCCCTGTCCATGAATGGAATGAGGCTTTCACGCTTTTGTGAAATCGCATTCAGGTGCTGAGGCTGGAGTTAGACTGCTTCAACAGCCTTGCCTTAAGCCATTCAAGGTTTCCGATCTTGCTGTGCTGATATCCATGCAGCTGTGGCTGAAGGTGAAAGGAATCAAATTAAAGAAGCCTCACCCTGTGCTCCTCAGCTGTGGAGCAAATGCAGCCTCACAAGCGTGCTGGCAGACATGCCCATCCAAACTGACTGCTGGCTCAGCTGTCATTCCACCCCGGCCCTCTGTGACTTCTCACATGAGGGGGAAACAACACAAGTGCCCCCTAGCCACACGCACGAGCCTTTTAACTCCGTGCGTGCATCAGAAATGGGGAGGTGATGCGTCTTTCCTTTCAGAGCCCCATGGGAAGTCCTTTCCCCCTTGGGCCTGCTGCACATTGCACGGGGAGAAGGGGAGGGTGGCACACATTTCCACTGCATGGGACCCTGCACCTATTTCACTGGCATGATGAATGGCTTGTGGTTCGGCTGAGAAGCAGGGAGGAAACTGTGCAGCCTTCCCTCACCAGGGGACTACAACTCCCAGCACTGTGTGTGCTGACTGGTGATCATGGTGGTTATAGTCCAACACACCTGGAGGACGACAGATAAGAGAAGGCTGCTGCAGTGAGTCTCTTGTTCTGTTACATTTCTCTCCACCCATCCTGGCACTGAGTGTCCGATAAGACATGCTTCCCCGTACCTGCCCGGTAGCACAGAGAAGTGTGCCACAGGCTGGCCCCAGAGAAGTGCGCTCCCTGACACGAGTCCCACCTGAAGCACATCGGGAGCTGGGGAAAATGCAGTTAGCTGACATATTTTAATTTATATCATGCAATTAATTGCATTTGCATAAGCATTTTACAAAGACGACGGATGCTAGGTCATGGCTGGAGGAATCATTGCTGTTAGTCTGAAACGCCAGTTGCTCACTTCCCAGGGTGAAACTCGAAGTGGGAGTCGCCTTGATGGATGGAAATGATTATCGTTCAGTGGAGATCTTGGGTTTTCACTTCAGAAAGATTTAACAGGGGAGGCACGTGCGCGCAGGAACACAGCAGTTACTTTCAGCGAACCCAACCTCAAGGAATCGTCACAGCATATCTACTTTCCTTTTTTCCTGGCAGGGTCCCTTTGCCTTTAACAGTTCCAAGGCAGGAGGAAATTTGGTAGAGTGGTGCTTTTTTCTGTAGCAACTTCTGCACATTTGGGAAAATCTTTACTTGCTGACTTTCTGCTTGTCCTTCTGCTCTCTCAAAGGGAGAGCAGCCCGAGCGGAAGGAAATGTTGGCAACCCTACATGAGCAAGAATCCTGCTAGAAAAGGCTGCTTCCTCTAGAACAGCCTTCTCCTACCTGGTGCCCTCCAGAGATTTTAGATCACAATGCCCATCAGTTTTCTCATTAGCCATGCTGGCTGGGGCTGATGGCGGCTAAAGTCCAAATCACCCAGAAGCTGCTCTACAATGTCAGGCAGCTTTATCTCTTGGTTGGAGACAAAACATGGTTCCAACACTGGCAGCTGCGTGATTCTAGCTAAGCCTGTGCTTTGCTTCAGCACCGAGGCACTCGGTGGGATCCCTCCAGGCATGCAAATGCCCTCGAAATGGTGAGAAGCCCTCTGAGCAGAGACTGCCTTGCTGTGTCGGGGCCTGTAAACATTGCACTCCCCCAGCAGACTGCTGTGCAAGCGGGCTCATCAATTATACTTCCAGGGTGGCCAATGTGTGGTGACCCAGCCTGCAGATGCAAGTCGGCGGCTGCTCCTTGGAGGCCACTAGCTGGAAAGGTGGTCATGGCAATCAGCTTGCCCCACAGCCCTGCTGGGGCCCAGCCTGAAATGCCTGTGCACCATTGTTAATCACTGCCTGTTGCTGACCTCTGCCGATTTCTGGTCAAGGTTGTGTCACCAGCCAGCCTGCAGGGCGAAGAAGCTGTACTTTTCTGAATAAGGGCAGGCTGGAAAATGTCAGAAAGTATTCAGCTGTTACGGGAGCATGGATGCCAAGAATGCATTTCAAAGGCGAGAGGGAGGAGCAAGCATCAGATGGGCCTGAGTGGTCCTCATGTAGATCACAGGGAAGCTTTGTGGCCTGTTAGGGTGTCCTCGTCAGCATCCTGGGAGGGGGGAGCGGGGGGGCGGTCTCATGAATGGCAATTTTTATCTTTGCCAGAGCACATGGTTAAATGCAGGTAACCATTTACCAACAGCTAAGTTACCACAGAATGCTTGGAAGCATTTTGAATGGGAGATGTCCTGACCCAGCCTTCCCCAAACTGCTGGCCTCCAGACATTTTGGAGTACAACCCCCATCAAATCCAGCCAGCCTAGCCAAAGTTCAGGGAGTGTGGGAGTTGCAGTCCAAAACATCTGGTGGCTACTGGGTTTGAGAAGACTGCTCTGTTCCCTCGCCACCCCTCCCGGTAGTCTTGGGGCTATTTTCAACCCTCTTGCAAATCACCCTCAGAGGGTGCTGCACCGTCTGGCAGCAAAACATTTTGATATATTACAAGGGGCAAATCTAGCTTGCAGTGAACCGAAATTCGTTATTTTTAGCACCCTGTTGTGCTAAAGCTGCCGTTTAAACAAAGCTGTTTTTTGCTTCGCTTTGCTCTTGTGATCAGATTCAGTGGCACTGCAGGGATGGTCGAGGTCACACCGGGTGAGGGGGCCGCTGTAGCCCACAGCCTGTTGGTTGTCTATCCTTTTTTGAGCTGGAGAACCCAAGAATTGAACCTGGGACCCCTGCAAGCGACGCCAGGGGTCCCACAAGGAGCTGTCCTCTCTGACTGGCTGCATTGTCCTGTGAAGTCAGGCGGAGGCATGGAACTCCTCCCTGCTTGCATGTTCTGGCACAGAAGTGTGGTAGGGCCCCATGTACCAGTCATTAGTCAGAGCTAAACAGACAACTGGCCAAAAACGTGTGACAGGCAGAGAATGGATCATCTGCATGCATCTTTGAGATCATCCTAGAAGGGGTGGGTCGTGGTGGGGGCTGCAGCAGGGACAGAGCAGCACCCCCCTTTATGCTCACCCACATCCCAGTGGAAGCGAGCTGAGCCAGCTGAAGAGAGAGGGCAAGGAGGAGGCCCTGGCAATTAGCATGGCATGAAGGGATGAAATGCCAACACCTTGATGTGCCTGACCGTGATTTGTGAAATGGTTCAGAGGAAGGGAGACTGTCATTTAGAAATGGTGCTTTATTTGCTGTTCCAGTAGGTCTCATTTTAACATGGTTTTTCAACGAATTTCTATGAAACACTTTCCTTGTCATAGAAGGAAGCCCTTATCTTCCCTCTGTTTCTGGCTGGAATGACCTTTCAGGCTACCAGATGACTGAAAAACTAATTACTAGCCCCGCATTTGGTACACAAAATTTCACAGACAGTATGAGCAGCTCATAGCTGCAAGTATAGGATATTTTTTTCCCAAGAATTCAATGGTGATTGCAAGTCCCTGTGCAATGAAAGATATTGTGTTTATTGTGATGGGCACAACTTCTCTTCTCTGCTCACTTCCTCCAGAGAGGCAAGGCATCCCCTCCATTCCTCCAAATGCTTCATTTCTCTCAGCAGCTTGAGGTCATTGAAGCCCCTTCTGCAATTACTTTTGCTATCAGTCACTCTGCCCTCCTCTTCCTCCTCCTCCTCCTCCTCTCACTCTGTGCTTCAGAACCTGACAAATGCTTGGAGCAGGAAGGGAGATTGGCATTTACTGGCACATCTTTGGGAGGATTTCTGACAGCAGGTTAAGAGTAGCCACAATTAAAAGGTTTCCCCCTCAAAATAGGTTGCTCGAAAACAATACAGGGAAAGAAATCAGGAGTGGGTTTTGTAGTGAAAGGATTGGTGAGCTTGGCTCTGGTCCTGATGAAAAGATTCCTAGGCTGGGCATGTCCTCAGAGGCTCAGTGTCTTGAAACGTGCGGTGTGTCTCTACCTGCTGAAGCCGCTATTTGGCATTGGCTTCTGATTGGAGAAGCTCAGGGTTCTATTAAGAAAACCTTCACATTTGATGCCTGCTCTTAAAGGATAATCAGAGAAAAAGTTACACGTTGACAGCTGGAGCGCATGTGAGCATATGTGAGTGTGTAAAACTATATTGCAAAAGGGCCGTCACATACAAAGGAAAGTTCATGAGCTAACAAAGGTGGGAACGTCAGCCTTTATTGCCACTGATTAAGTGCACAGCTCATTTACAAGAGTATATTGCATCCTATTATTGGGACATGCTTCATTATTCAGTGCCATGCTAATCTGCCATTGCTGCTCTGCTAATGTGCTTTTATGAAGACAGCTGCGCTGGCAGACTGCAGTAAGGTATGCAAGGCTGCCGCATCTAAGTGACCTTTTGTTTACAGTCCCTCTCAAATAAGGCAGTGCTGCCAGTGTCTATAGCATTGTCCTGAGCAGATGAGCAAAGATTCAATTTAGAATGAGCCAGCACTTAAGGGATCATAGAAACAGAATGAGTCAGAAGGGGTCTCCTGGGCCAGCTAGTCTGACCCCCGCCTCCAGCCGGCTCTGCTCATGACATGCCTACCATGGAATGCCCCTGTTGGCATGCCCACAGTGAAGGCGCAAAGGAATAATCAACCCGATCTGTATGTTTTGTATTCTCCTTTCAGTGGGGATGAACCCATGGACCCCTATACCAAGCTCTGCTGCAAAGGCTTTTGCATTGATATCCTCAAGAAGCTGGCCAAGACAGTGAAGTTCTCCTACGATCTCTACCTGGTGACAAATGGGAAACATGGGAAAATAGTAGATGGTTTCTGGAATGGCATGATTGGTGAGGTAAGCGGATATCTGCTGTAGGGGTCAAATGTTCGTACGAAAGGCGATCGAGCTCTTTTACAAGCGAGAACAAAGAAGCTACCCTATATACATGAGAGCCCCTGATCTGGGACTGTCCTGACATATCTAGAAAAGTGACGTCTCTGAATGGAGATTCTCCCATCCCTGTCAACTTAATTAGTTGTATATGAGCATGCAGAAATGATTGCCATCTTCAGATCAGGATGGAAGCTTCTCTGTCAAATTGCCTGGTCATTTTAGGATTTAAAAAACAAACAAATAAGCATTGTACTTCCTTGAGTTTTCTATAAAACACCCTCATTTGCAGGACAGGAGCCTCTGTTTTAGTATACACTTCATGAGAGAACTTTTACATGAATACATGAAAGAACATTTGTTCCCTGACTGTAGTCCATAGGGTTCCAGCCGCTATCAGCCACTGCTGCATCTTCCAGCCACTGGCATGACAGTCCGCCTCCAAGATTCAATTAAACCTTCAGAAAAGGCACAGTCCTCCCGCAACTGTACCAGTTCAGAGTACAAGTTGCACATGTGAACTGGTACACAAGTAAAAGCTAGCGTGTCGGCTAGAGGGAGTCTAATCCTCCTATGCAGCTTTCTGAGTGTAAGGCATTCTCCCAGCATTCTGAAGTAGTACAATGGACTGTACCAGATCTTCCCCAACCTGTGCCTCTTAAATGTTTGAATGAACTTTTGAAACGGACAAGACAGAGAAAAGATATTACTGGTTAGCTGCCGGTTTCCATGACTCTCTCATTGGGAGATTCCACAGTGCCTTCCCTGGTTCCCTTAGCAAGAAAGAAGACCTGCCTGCTCAGAGGTCAGAAGCAGCAGCACTGTGTCAGGCGAGAGCTTGGCCAGCAGGGGTGTGTACTATGGCTGGGGAAGCATCAGGGCCTCCTTGATTCCTGCCCTCAACGGCCTATTGACTGCCGGCACTGGGAAGGCGAACTTGGTCATGCACAAACTCCTTCCCAGCACTTCATGTTCTCTGCCAACCTGGAACCCTTGTTGTAACCCCCCCTCATAATCAAGCATGTAGCCAGGGCATAACTCATCACGAGTATCAGGGTGTCCTGTTCGCATGAGAACAAGTACACGAACACGGATGTGCACGCTACGCAAAGCTGACGACAAAGCAGGCTACGCTCCAGCATTACCAGTATCACTGCAGACGTTATGCCCTTGTACCCACGCTTGCTTGCTTTTGCATGATAAATGTGCAAAATGTGCTCTCCCCTATTGTTTCTCTGTTGTTCCCCTATTGTTCGCTGTCATTCAAGCATAAGTGTAAAAGAGTATAAAAATCAAATGTCTCTCCTCTGCCTGCTACCACACTCTCACGAGTGCATGGTCCCTGCCGGCAGGTAAAATAAATCCCTCTCGATAATTCCAACCAGTCTCTGGTCTCGTCCGTAAAATCGAGCCATACAACAACCCTTTTTCAGATATGCATTTTGCTTAAGACAGAATCCTATACCTGGAAGTAAGCTCTGTCAAGCTCAATGGGACTTCTTGCTGAGAAGACACTTGTGACAGTGGTAGGCAGAAGATAGATCTCCAGATGTTTGGGATGGCCAAGTCCCAGAAGCCCTGCCACCACGGCCAATGAGCAGGACTGCTGGGAGCTGAAGACCAAAACTTCCTTAGGGCCACTTCCCGCCCCCACACAACACCTGCCGCAGAGGCTTGCTTCCATCCAAGTATTTGCTCTGCTTTGTGAAAGTTATCGTGAGCCTGTGAGCTGGCCTTCCAGGCTAGACAGCGTGGCCAGCCTCTTAAGAATGGCTGCATGCCTAGAGCTGAACAGCTCATGAGGTTAGCCTGGGCAACGTTTATGTGCCGTGCGGTCTTCCAGCACTCTCCTTTTAGGATTTGTAACCTAGGAAGGGACAATTATGTGTCAGCGGTTAGAAGCAGAATGCTTATAGCAAGACATTACACCAGATTCAGCTTTCAGGTGCTCCAGCTGCATTCCATTGGCTCAGAAAGAAGCCATAAATCCATCTGAATGGGCTCCTTAAGATTTGTTTCAGGCAATGGTGAGTCAGCAGAGCAGCGCTAAGAGGGCTGAGCGTGCGGGTGAATATGGCAAAGCATCCCTAAGAGAAAAAATGAGAGGCAGGGAGTATTAAACATGCATCCCTGCATTATAACTGAATGCAGGATTCCCCCACCCCCATGCACAGGAATTATTTGTCGCCCAGATTTCAGCTATTAAAATGTTCCACAAGAGAGGCAGCAATAAGGCTTCTGGAGAGTCAGAAAGTATCTGTGATCTGGAACATTTTGGGGACGGGAGAGTATTTTCAAGCAGATTGCTCTGGCTTGAATTACTGCTTGGAGAAATTGGAACTTGCCTTCTGATTTAATCCTTCCACCCCTTAGCATTTCTAAGTATTTAGATAATGTTGCACAAGAGCAAATGCACTGAAATTAGCAAACTGTGGCATAACATTCTCGCCAGCCCCATGTGTCCTCTGCCATTTGGAGGGCCTCTAACAGGGGAGTCCCATCCCATGGGCAGATCTGCATGTGCAGGAAACGGTGGGGAGGTTGCAGAGGAGGGGCTGGTTCTGACATCCAGGATGAATTGACTGGTTTCCACTGGCACCACAAAGGGGGCGCAGGGTAGGGGGCAGAACCTCTTTTAGCCAGAAGGTCAAATGCTATTCCACTTGGGAGCTGCTCTTAGGGGCTGCAGGCCAGCAGTGAATGGGGCCACAGCCCAAAACTTTCCAGCATATTGTCCTGAGCTGGTCCCTTCCCTCTGGCTTCAAAACCCAAAGCAATCCTTTAAAATGTCATCCTTTATGGAGACTCCACAGATAACAGAACAGTTTGAGCTCTAAATAGCTTTCTGTCAAAACTGAAAAGAGAAGCCTCTTCTCATGTCAGGAACTGAATCCAAATGGGAAATTTGCCCCGGGTCCCTTCCTTTCAACCAGCTTCTGGCACCCATTTTGCCTCTAAGTGCTTGTTCTTCTAAGCCTTCAGAGAGGCATTTCAAAATTTGGAGACTGAGGTTGGGGTGCGGGGGGGGGGGGCGCTGTAGAAGAAGCAGGGTTTGGTGTCTAACTGGTGCAGTAGCTTTGCCACAAGTGTGGGCCCAAGCAGGGAGCAAAACCATCTGTCTCAGGTTACAAAAGGGCTTGTGCTGCCTTTTTGAAACTCCTCTTAGGGGAGGTTCAAGAATTACTTCATAAACAGTCCCCGGTTGAAGTGTAACCGGGGCTGGCACCATAGTTTACGCAGTGGGTTTGCAGGGACTGACCTCTTTTGTCTGCATGTTTATTCAGAGGTAAGGCCCACTATGCTTAATGAGACTTTCAGTAAAGAAGGTGTGTTGGGGTTCCCAGTGTGGCACCCACAGGTGATGCTGTGCCCACAAGGACTTCTCTTACCCCTTTTGCTTTGTTTTGCTGTTTGGTTTAATGGTTTTAATGGGTTATGTAGATGCTGCTACCACTTCTGATTTTAGAGCCAAACAAACTTCTGGTATGTACCTATTTTACTTTGTTTGGCTATTTTAATAGATATTAATTGCTTATTTTTATTTAATTTTGTTTTATTATTTCTTATTGACTGATTTTACACTGTGATTATTTTAATGAACCATTTTGTTTTTAATTGATGTTAAATGTTGTTTATTATGTTGTGAGCTGCCCAGGGAGTCTATGGCTAATGGGGCAGCATACAAAATAATTAATTAAATGTATAATCCAGTTGTGCTCATGGATCTCTCCAATCCCTGCTCCCTTCAAAAAATGTTTTTAATTAAAAAAAAATTGAAACAAGTTTGAGGCCACATTCTTCTTCCAGTTCTTGAACATGCCATTGATCAGCTGTTTGGGGGGCAGGCAGGGCAGGCAACTGTTGCTTCTTGGCCCTAGCCAATCTTCCTTCTCTTGTTCTCTCCAGGACCAGCCTCTTGCCTTACTATTCTTCTCCTCGAACCCTTTCTTGCTCCTTGTCTCCCCTCTCCGCACTTGCCTTGCTGTTTTTTCCCCTCCTACCTCTACCCTTGCTTCTTCTCCATACCCCGGCCTACAGCTTCGCTCTCCCACTATTTCCCCTTTACTCCCAGTCCCCGTCCTCGCCCTTTCTCTGCCTCACCCACTTCTCCTTCCACTTCTTCCTGCCCAGAGCCACCCACCTTGCTCTTTCTCTCTCCTTTCCCTGCCCCTTCTCTTGTTCTGTACACACACACAGCACCTTACTGGGCAGGGCTCTGACAGGAGGCGAACACCAGGTGTGGCTGAACCTGGGTTGAGGCAGGGGCGTTTACATTATCTTTTGAGGGTGAGAACATTTGCCTTTCCTTTGAGTGCATGCGTGTGCACGTTCATGTCAGCGCACGCTAAGCAGATCAAACGTATGTAGGTCTACTCTACTCAGAAGCAATTCCCACTGAGCTCCATGTAAGCATGCATAGTATTGCAACCTTCAGTGGATATTTTGTAGTGCTTCTGTGGAGTCAAATATATGGACTGGCTCTGGAGTTCAGCTCCTTCCTCTGCTTGTACCCAATTTCCTGGATGAGCAACTTGTCTTTTGACTAGCCAGACCCCATGTCAGCCATTATATGATTAGCCACATCCTCTGTGGGAGCTATTTTCTGCTGGTGCCCACAGCAGTTTCTCCAATTCCTAAATGATCCAAAAAGATTTGTCAGGTCCAAAAGGATTTGGGACTCTAGAGTGCAGGATTGCAACTGCAAAATCTTCCATCTTCAGAGAAATGCAGAAGGAGGCATGGAAGAAATCCATTAGTGCAAGATATTCTTCTCAGCTGGATGGAGCTGGCTCTGTTGTGTTCATTTTTAGTTGTATTGATGTGGATTCATTGATGTCATTTCATACTCTTTCTATTCCCCAATGTTCAAGGTGTATTACAAACGAGCAGACATGGCCATTGGGTCCCTCACCATCAATGAGGAGCGCTCGCAAATTGTAGACTTCTCCGTGCCCTTTGTGGAGACTGGGATCAGTGTCATGGTAGCCAGAAGCAATGGGACCGTCTCACCTTCTGCTTTTCTAGGTAAGAGAAACTGCCGACAGTGCTGAACGAGTGGGAACTACAACAGAATATTGCAGCAGGAGGTGCTTCTGTTCACTGTACCAGTTCAGGCCATTCACCATGATACTCCATTCCATTCCTAAATAGTTTTGTGGTGATACAGGACAGGTTCCTGCACAAAGCATGGTTGGTTTTGGAGGGGTTGGTAATTCTGCAAAAATCAAAGTTCCCCCAAGCCTGATGGAAGATCCTCCTTGTACACGGAAGTACATAAGCAACGGCACTTCTGCCCAAACATCAGAAATAGAGCAAATTATGTACTGCTATCAATTCCAAATCATGTACACTGATAATAGAGAAGTGTTAGATATGGGATATTTAAAACAGTTATGTTGCATGTAATAGTCTCTAATTTACATGGTCCAACTGAAAATCATTATGGGAGGGTAGAAATAGACACCCCCTCCGATCCTCTGTGTACAACTGTTCAAATTTTAGGGTTATGTTTAGTGTTGTTTGGCCAACTATTGTTGCTTGCAAGCCATGTTTTGCTGACTATTTTCTGGAGTAATCATGTGGAGAGGTGATCCAAGACAGTTGGAGATCACATGCTGAATACACTGACCTCAAATGCTAGATAAGCTAGTGGATTTGGCTTTGTGGTGATGTCACTGAAGGCAAATAGAGGCCTCTGAGCTTGAAGGCAATGCTCCTTGAATTAGTTCTGTGGGTAATTCCACCCAACCAGAGGCCACAGAGAGAATATGCTAATATCAGCATGTTAGATAGCCAATCAGATTTGACTAAATAATGGTGTCAGTAAGGATAGGGGAAGTCAATTGATTAGAAGAGGGGCAGTGTAAATGAATGGGAATGCCCAACAGTAATCACAAAAGAACTAATTCTGATTCATTGCAAACACAACAAAACAGAAGATGCCCAGAATGTTCTTGAAATGCACACGGGACAATCCTTTTCACTGGGAGTTTGGGCAACAAGTGAGAAATTAACAGTTTGGATTGATGGGTACCACAATTGAAAAATTGTCTTGAGAGGAGACTATATGTGAACCAGAGAGGATTTGTCAACAAAGGAGAGATGTTTATAAAAAGAAAGGTGAGCAATTTGTAAAGGTATAATGAACGTTGTTGGGACTTGGTAGAAAATGTGTGAATGGAAAGACTAATGGGAAAATGAAGCTAGAAAGGCTCTTGGCAAAGAGTTATCAGAGTACAGTTGCAAACCATTCCCCTCCCAATACTAAGAAAAGATAACGGTGTGACAGAGCCTGAGCTGTCAAGATATATGACATTCATTCCATTCCCCTTATCTATGACATGAGTTTATTTCATCAGTGAATAGCTTAGGGAGGTATGCTTTGCTCTTAACAGTAGTAATCTCCCTCATGTTGTTTCAGAAATTCAGATATGCATTATTTCATTATCTGTTCTAATAAATTGCATAAATTGCATTAAAGAGTCTATAATTTATCTGATTCCCCCTTTCTCTTCTTTGGAAAAAATATATTTGCCCTTTTCCAGTGAAGCCTCACCAGAACATTAGCCAACAGATGAAGTTCTCCAGAGAAATGGTAGAATTACCTTCCTTTGACATTTCAAGGATAGACTAGGTATATTCTCTCAATATTAGGATTGTGTGGATCTTGAACAGTTTCCTTTCTGAAAGGTAGACCCGAACAATTTCCCTATTTTGTAATAATATGTCTGAATTTGTATAGATGAGACTCTGTAGCTACATTGGGTTGGATCCAGATTTAGGTGTATGCAACTGGGCTGCTGGAAGTAAACTTTCTTGCCTCCTTTTCTCACAACAGCCCCCCTCCCCCAACCCCTGAAAATGCTTTGCAGAAGGTACAGGGACCCCGATGAATGGAATGAGCTGTGGTGCATGATGGACGTGGGGGGGGGGGCTGTTGTGAGAAAAATCAGGCGGAGGCAACTTCCATAAGTGGAGCCTTTCTGTTTAGGAAGGCATAACCTGGATCGACCCCACTTTGCAGCCAATTCCATCCTTACATCTGGACTCATGACCTGATCTGGACATGGAAAGGAAGGTCTGGAGCGCACAGGTCTTTCTGGTTCTCCACTGACTTGCAGTGTAAATGCTAGCATGCCACACACACACGCGCGCACACGCACGGACGCACAAAGTGCTAATTTGCAAAGGCATTCTGCAAGCATCAGGGCCATTTCATCAATGGCTTTACTGAGCACTTCATGATCCTCAAAGGGAAATTTAGAATAAAAATTTATTGCTTGGATTATTCATCCTGACTGATCACTGCTCCATCATATCTGTGTGGCTGAACTTGATGTCAGCTCTCAAAAGCATCAATCATATTATGACACAATTAAAAAATTTAAAAATGTACATTTTGAGCAGCAGTGATCTGAACTAGTTGGGGCCTTTGGGAATATTTGGCCAATGAGAGCACAGCAGCAGCAAAAGGGGCAGTCTTTATGTTGTTCCTATGCCCTCATTGACTTTATCCCTCCCAAAGCTGCATCTGATTGGTGCAGACTGCAAGGTAAAGAATAGAGTTGTTTTAAAATGGCAAGCTGCAGCACAGGCTTGCCAGCTGGTTGCCATGGCAACTCATTTTGCAGCCAGCTGGACAGCTCTGCATCCAGGGCTAGCAGGAGGGGGAGGAAGACCCACCACAGGTTTGGGGGGTTCATTTGGGGCCCCCAAAACATTGGGGTCCCAGACTTGTGCCCCAGCATCCAGTCCTGGATGTGCCACTGCCCATGCAGGAAATTCAGAAGGCCATTCATTTGATGACATCATGCTGATACTCCATGAAAAAACGCATGCGTTAAGTGTGAATGACTCGGTATTTAGAAGGCCCAGACGCCGAAACCAAGCAGTGAGCTTGCAGAAGTCCAGACGTATCTTGGCCGCAAGGTGTGTTTCCCCGGGGCTCTGATGCCAGCTCATCACCACATACGCTCTGCTGGTAGATTTGTAAATAAAGCAGGAACCTTAAAATGTGCCGTAGGACTTGCTCGATCTCTTCTAGGAAGGAGGCCAAACCTGAGTCGTGCGACTGCTCGCCACTTGGAGACTTGGGGAGTGTGTCCTGCTACCCAGGCAGTGCCCCACTTCTGTGGTGAGGGCTTGTACTGTGGCATGGTTGCCTGTCCAAAGGGATTCCCAAGGACCATCTAGCGAGTCCAAAGTACAACCTGACGTGGCGATTTCCTGGCTCATGCTCTTCAATCTCTTCTCCTTGTTGGATTTCGTGTCTGGATTTATCATCGTGTTTGCAGTTCTGGGGGACACCAGTTCGGCTCCTGATCTCCTGGGCAGATGCCTGGATGGGCGCCTTTGTGCACACGTTGGCTCATCACTGACACAAAATGAATGTGCCTGGGGCGGGGGCAGAGCCTGCTGCGCTGGTCCCCTCCCCACGCACATGTCATCTCTCCAGGGCTAGTGTGGGAGAAGCAATTGCTGCTTTGAGCATCTGGGAGCTGAGAGGGTTAGGCTAAAGAGGAAGCTCGGATTCCTGCACTTTGAATCACACATGTGTCATTCCCTTCGGAAGAAGGGATGCGTTCACTTATGCTCTGCAGACCTCCCTTGGAGATACTCTGCTCGGTGCCAGGGGAGGACACCGACTCCTCACTGGCTTCCACGGCAGTCCCTCCAAGGCAGGCAGGGCTTTCACAGACCTGTTCCTCCTTCCTCCTGTTGTGAAACAAAAGCTGTCACTTCCTTTCTTGCATTTTACCAGCACCAACCGTCAGCCGTGCCAAAAGCTCAAGGCCCTAAAATAAACAGGAGTGCATGCCAGGGTGCTGGGTGCCTGTTAGAATTATCACCACAGACAACTGAAATGTTGCATCTGGTTTCTGGAACAGCAGACACCCAATTAGGGAAACAAAGAAATCCTTTAGAGTATTACTTGCAATTATATCATTTGGGGAAATAATTCAATGCAGTGATACAGATACAAGAGCCCAGTATGAAAAGTTAGCTTTTGCAAATGTGTATTTGATTGCATGCTGGGTGATGTTTGTATGTAAGAAAGGATGTGTCCTGCCTTCCATCATTCATGCATTTAAAAAGCAATGCCTATGTTACATTGTGCAAGCGAGCACCTGACTGTCCGGTAGTGGGTGAGTGAGATGCACTCGCCTTCGAGGGCCCAACATCATGCAGCCATACTTCTCAAAATGTGCAGCTGTGCTTGCATTTTGCCACAGCAAATGATTGCTCAGTCTCAGATTTTAAACAGAAGCTTGTTTCAGAGTGGCATGGAATCGATGACACTTACAAAGGGTGACATAAAGGGTGAGCATCTCAGGAACTCATGGTATATGGACTAATCCCTGAAGAGGAATCTATTTGCTTGGTCTATTCCAAATCAAGCACAAGTCCAATGAATAATAAACAAGTGGTACTTGCAGAGAGATAATCTGTAGTGTACTTATGGAATAGTTCAGCTATGGAATAGATATAAACACCATATAGTTTAAAAGAAACTTAAATGTAATAAAAAGATGATACCAACAGGATCCATCAGGATCCTACTGACTTATAGGTAGGATTATTTGTGAACTGGAATACAAATAGACTTGATCTGTGCCTCCTGGACTCCTGTGTCGATCAGAACACACTTTCCCCCTGATTTCTTCACTTCTGTACAGAAAAATCCCCTGAAATATGGTTAGAAATTTAGATTTTGCTGCAAAAATACATTAGGATACAATATATTTAAATGTGTGTTTAAATACAATCTCTGTGTGCATTAAAAGCAAGAATCTTTCAAATCAATGCAGAAACACGCAGAATGGCCTTATGAATGAACTCATCCATCCCTTGTTGACCAAAACCACTAGTGCTACCTCAAGACAGGATGAAAACCACATTGGCACCTGATGGTCTTCTGTGCATTTGTGCAGCGGACAGGCAGCTCCCCTTCTGTTCCCATGGCTCTGAAAGGAACCTCCTTGAGCCCTGGAGATGCTGGCAAGCCATGCTATGGCTACCAGGTCCCGAGCTAGAATATTGATATTGCATACTGAAAGTTGTCCATTTTGCACAAAATTCTTACCCCTTTATAAGTGTGTGTATATATGTTTACTTCATCTACAGAAATAAAGTATGCAGGAAACCTGTTCTGTGCTCTAATGGATTAAAACAACAATGCAGTTTAAAAGTGCAATCCTATGCATGCTCAGGCAGAAAAAAGTTGTACAATTCCAGCATGTCCCAGCCAGCTAGATTTTGTTTTTCTGTGTAAACATGCAAAGGGTTGCAGCTCAAATTGTTCCATCCTTTTCCTCACATCATTATCATTTATCACTTTGCTATGAAATGAAATTTCATGCTTGTTTCCATGCACGTATCTCTTAGCATTGCACTGTTGTATTTCATTTTGCCTAATATGTATGCTTCACCAAACCACCTCCCCTAGCAATGCCTGGCTGGCTGGGTTCACTATTATATGTGTTTCTGCACACACTTCCCACCTATATTTACATTTTGCAAGCACGTTTTAATTGGAGAACTGTATTGCAAACTTCAGAAAAGTGTAAACAGTGAAAAATTACATTTGGGTCATCTCTTGGTTCAGAAGGTCTGAATTAGGCAAGTTTGCATTGGTATGTGAACGGAATTAATTTCTTCACCTGAATTAATCTACTCTGGAGATGGACAGAAATCCCCTTTTAAATTCAGTTGTCTCGTGTTACAAAGCCTCTTAGAATCTGGAACATAGAGACTGCCCCTCAGAAGGGATTCCCCCACTTTTTTAAAGGGCTTCTTGATGTGTTCGTCTAATGCAGGGTTCGAAACCTCTGGCCCAGGGTCCCACTCAATCCTTTTGGCATTCCCTAAAAAGCCATGGATCCTTTCCCCAGGCCCCACTATCTTTTCTCCACCAGCAGTAAGTTGGTGGTCTCCCAGCTTCTGGGCAGTTTCCCCCCTTTGAAATGTCTCTTCTAGGCCTGAATTGCTGTCAGGAAGGGCTTCCGGTTAAGCAACACTGGCCTATTTGGCTTCCCTCATACCTGGAATGGAACCCCTGCAAACTTCTCTGAAATGAAACTCAGCTTTCAGGGTGAAAGAAGTTTAGCACTCCTGACCTGAAGCTTCTTAGAAACGACACAAATATTGTATCATCTTAAAGGCATATTTAAATAGAAGGCAGGCTGGGGTGGGGGGAGACACTGGAGAACAAAAGCATAAGAAGTGCAGAGCTACCTGCTTCCATCTGACAATTTAAATGTTCTCTTCCTGGATGTGTGAGGAGCCCAGTGGAAACCTGGCACTCTTCTTGTGGTTGGATTCCTTCCCTCTGAGTTGCTTTCTCTCTCTGTTCCCATCCTCCTCTCTCATCTGCCTCAACATGCTAATGAAATGCATCTGATGCCATCAGATAAAGTTTCTGTCCTCCCTGACAGGGAAGGACAAGCTGACAAATGGGCCTTGCTTGCTGTATTTTGAGGGCCTGAATTAATCCCATCCTTCACCCTGCCCTTTAACGCAGGAGCTCTATCGCTCAGCCTGCTGCTGCCATCTGACAACTCGCTCTGTTTGCTTTTCTTCCTTTTCCCCCTCCTCGCTCACGTGTGTTTCTTTGTGACTTGCTTGGTTCTTTCTCCCCATTTTCATCACGTCCACCTGGCTCTTCTTCCTGGAATGGGAGGTGGCTTCTCAGCTGGGATTGCTGAGAATGAAGGAAGAGCAGCTCAATTGGCAGAGCTGGCTTTCTGCATCTGATCTGCCCTTCTAAAGCCACAGATTAGCAGAGAGGTATAGCAGCTCCCCCAGCCCCTTCTTCCCCCTCCTCTCTGCCCTGACTGTGCTGCACCAGCACACCTGGAATTTTGTGCAGCTGGCAAGGACGGGGCAGATGGAGGGTTTGAATGAGATGCTGTTGCTGGGTCAGTCCTCCTAAAGAGACTGAGCAAACCTATTTCCCTCCTGGCCACCTGTGCTTTCATATTCACTGGTATAAGCTCCCGGAAATTATGGTATTGTAAACAGTACTAGGAATCAATTGTGAATATTCATAAACTTATTTTTTAAAAAGTAAAAATGACACACAAGTTTCATAGTTCCCTTAAAAGTGATGATTTTTTAATCACTTTACTTACTTGAAGACATGGCATGAACAGGGTGGTTATTTTAGATACTCTCCTTCTTTAGCCTGGTGGTTTTGAGATATCTTGGATGGCAATTCCATTCAACCCTGAGCATTGACTATGCTGGCTGCTGCTGATGGGGTATGTAGTTCAAAACATCTAGAAGCCCCCAGGCTGAAGTCTGTCAATATCTTTGAGGGTATTTGCTAGTTCTTGCCTCAGCCTCCCAAAACACATTATATTTTTATATTTTGGTGTATATATACTACTGACAAGTGGCTTATTATTTATCTTCATTATTAGTTCCATGATAAGGGCAGGCAAGTAGCAGTGGGGGTGCATTTCTTGACAATATCAGTGACCTCAGAACTCATTTATTACTTACCACAAGTAATCTGACTCGTTTGCTAAATGCTTCCAAAATTGTTTTGCCCTCAGTTCCTTGACTGGGGACTTTTCCTACCAGTCTAGTATGGAGGGTTGCTTCCTACCCCCTTGCATATTTCCCCTTCTTTGCGACTCTCGCTTTCTTTTTGGCTCTCCTACCAAATTACCTTTTATTTTAATTCTGTAGTAGTAGGGGTGTAGCTAAGTTCTCTTTTCAGCGGGGCAGAGATAGAAGTGGTACGTGCTTGTGATGCATTCTGGTTGCAGCTAGTGCGAGTACCTTCATGTCATTTCCCTTTAGTTCAATCTTTATTCTGACGCTGTAAGCCAGACTGCCCTGCACTGCTCTTTAGGCTGTTTTCTGCTTTTGGATTGACCAAGATTTTTTGCACAAAGGCTGAGTTCTGGTTCAGCCTCACTTGGGGTTTAGGATCAGTTCGACTGCCTGTTGTTTGCCTGCTGTGTGTACCAATATGTAGTGTACATATACTTTGTGGCATCTGGTACAACCGATCCATTCTACAAGCACGGCTGCACTGGAAAGAATGAAACAGTGATGAGAATGCTTGGTTTCATTATGTGAACTTCATGCCAAAACCATCACATGCACACACAACAGCTATTTTGTACTTTAGTCATGCCTTTCAGAGAGAACCTTCTGGCAACAATGGGGATGCAACAAATCAATATTATGGGGAGAAAGGTAAATGGGAGAGAAACAGCTGTTTCCAGCTTGATAAGTACATTTTCTAGGTCCTTGGGTCCCTTCCCCTTTCCGTGGTCAGGGCCATCACACTGGACCTCCTGAGTGCTCATTCAACGTAACGGTTTCATGCACATTTTGACTAGTTCGTTATATTCTTTAATCCTCCATGATAGAGTGTCACTGTAAAACTTCATCCCTTTCCTTAGCAGCAGGTGCTGCTACTGCTTCCCCCGTATGCTAAATGAATGTGCGTGAGCCTCAGCGCCAAATCAGCATACAATGAGGCAGAGCTTGCCCACTCCCCATCCAAACATCTTCACTGACTGCCCGGAACAGCAGGAGCATAACGTGTGAAGAGGGCTTCTGTCTGTTTTAGGTGCAGGTCGGTTCAGCATGCTGCTTGAGGTAGGAATGAAGGCAGAGCTCAACAGCCCCGTGGCGATTAATCTGAATTGCTACCAGGTATCAGCATGGCTACGCAGCTGATGATCATGTCTTCCAGTGTGGATGTTCAGATGCGAATGCTGATGTTTGTGCAGCCAAACTGGAACCATCTACACACAAGAAGGAAATATCCATTTTTTGCAGAAATGCACACACACATATGTATGGAGGAAAATCCAAAAAAGGGAGGGGAACTCCTGATGATTCAATGGTGAATTAACATGCTGCCCACAGGATCCTAAGGGTATCATGGAGGAGGGCTTGTCCAAGACCACTCTGTGCAGCAACATTTTGTTGTCCGTCCCATTCACATCCCATCGCAAGTGAAGAAGTGCCACGGAAGAGCACACCGTGGCCCATGCAGTTGAGTTTAGCAGACACTGACTGAAAGTCTACCGATCGCACTGTCCACTGGGTCATCCTGTGGGAGACCGTGCAGCTTGCCAAGGGGGAGGGACAGACATGGGCAGCCCCTCCTGTGCCCTGTGCCCTGGATTGACTGGCTTCCTCTTGTCTTCTAGAACCCTACAGTCCGGCCGTGTGGGTGATGATGTTTGTGATGTGTCTTACTGTCGTTGCTATCACAGTCTTCATGTTTGAATATTTCAGCCCTGTTGGCTACAACCAGAATTTAACCAGTGGCAAAAGTAAGTAAGTTTCCAAACGGTCTAGTTAATGGGCCTTACACAGCACAGACAAAATGCCAGATGTCCTCTGCAAAAAGCATCTCTTATCGCAGGTGCTACCATGAAATTGGCAGTTTATATACAGAGACCTTTTGTGCATTAGACTTTTCCCTCCATCCTAAGAACCACAGTTTAGGTTCATTGTGAAGTTAGGCAAGCTTGCCAGCTTTGAGTCCGATCCCACTGCCATTGTCCAACCATGTTTGTGGCTCTCAGGGGAAAGCAGAGCGTCTGCAGTTGCAACAAGTGACCGGCCCGAGATGCCTTACCAAAGTTCTTATCAGCCCATTGCAGAGGCTGCCAACCAGGAGCCACCTCTTCCCCAGAAGAGTCCCATTGTGCTCCAGTACTTAGCTGCATGGTCCAACCTTCCCTCTCTTTTTTCAGGCTGGGGCTTCTCAGACATTTTCAGACAATTTCCACCCCTGAGCCCACCCAAGAGCCACGTGTCTGCCAAGACTGAGCAGCAGGGTGGCCAAGTGAGTGGCAGAGCCCCTGCTGCCCTGTGCCACCAAAACTGCTGACTTTTTCTGCCAGATGTTGGCATTGCATCAGTGGGGGACAGTAGGGACCTCACTAAAGGAGGCACCAGCAGCCTGCAAGCCACATGTTGCCCACCCCAGAATAAAAGTTGTTAAAAAGGCTGATCTACCAGATATAAAAGTATTTTCTGCCATTCATGACATTCCCTGCAAACACCTTTAGATTTCAGAATGCACACTGATGAGCACCCAAAATGCCCAGCTATAATCTGGAGTGGCAGAGGTAGAACAATGCACAGTTTAGAGGAACTGCATACCCACAGACAGGGTTCTTCCTTCTCTTTGTTTGCATGGCCATAGCTTGATTAGATGCAAAGGAAAACAGTCCCCGAGGGAATTGCAGATAGAGCTCCCTAGCTGCAGGGAGGGCCTCCTGAAATTTTGGCTCAAGCAGGTATGAAACCCCTGGAGGCCTGTCCTCCCATGCCCCTAGTAGTCAGTCCATACACCAAGCAGGCAGAAGCTGTTAAGCGGATACCCGGGCCATGCCCTGTGACTGCCATCACCTTGGAAGTGCTCTGAATCAGGCTGCAGAGGAAGCCCTTCTGGTGACCCACTGGCCGGTCCTCAAGCGCTTGCCCAGTGGAGACTGCAGCCCAGCTGGTCAATTTGACCCGGTGTGAAAGCACCTCCAGCCAGGACGGAGGACACGGTCTTGATCTGTGTCCATAACTTTTGTGTCTGAACTATCAGCAGCTGGTCTGATTCGCAGACTTGCATGTAAACTCTGTGAACAGCTCCTCCTGTTAACAGCTTCCAGAGGAGCAGGTTTCTCACAGCTGCTTTGAGGAGCTGTCAGCCCCAGGCCAGGCATGCCACCCTGGCGCATGATAAAGGCTCAGCAAGACTTATGCATCCTGACTGTGCGTCATGCAAAGGCTCCTTGACTGGCAAGCGTGGGCCGCCCGTTGCCACCCTGGCCAAGCCATCCTCAGGTTCGCTCTTTGAATTCCTCAGTATCAGCCTTAGAGAATTTGCTGTCATGGGGGGTCAAATGCAGACAAGGATGCTGGAAGTCAGGCAGAAACTGGTAACAACTAAAAAAAAAAGCCAAGGGCCCAGAGTAAAAATTTGCAACCTAGTTTTAGCCTTCGTCATCCAGTTCTAAACAGATACTGGCAGGGTGTGGGTTTCTGGGATCCTGCTCATTTCACTAGAATACAACATTTAAAAAAATTGTGAACATTCTGCACGTCAGATTTTAGGGTTAGGTATTTTGTTTGTTCTGTACTATTGTTGGCTTGCTTTCTTAATGTAAAAAGTGTGGTGTAGTGGATAAGAGGGTTGGACTGGGACTCAGGCAGTCTGGGTTCTGGTCCCTGTTCAGCCATAGATCCAGCTGGGTGACTTTGGGCCTGCCATGGACTCTCAACCCAACCTACCTCACAGGGTTCTTGTGCAGACAAAACTGAAAGCAGGAAGAGAATGATATAAGCTGCTTTGAGTTTTTTAAAAGAATAAGGCAGCGTATAACTCTTATAAACGGGTTGGACATAACTTCGCGACTAACAACAACTCTTATAAATAAATAAATAAATACATACATACATACATACATACATAAATAAATAAATAAATATTTGACAGCATAAGGAAAGGAGTAGTACTGAAAATACTCAAGCTGTGCCACTTTTCTATTGTATGTGTAGAAAATCTGACTTCTACTTCCTCAAAGACTCACACTAAATTTGGGGTTTTTAAGACGTTTTTATGTGTATGCACGTGTAGTCATAGGGACCAGTACCTTATCAATAACAAATACTCAAGATTCTGAGAATTCTTACTTAAAAGCTAGATTCCATGTAGTAATTGATGCAACTGATCAGAGGTCAAGATTCTGTTTCAGACCTCTTATCAAGCATGCTGAATGCTGGATGTCTGGCCTTCAGTGCTGAATGCTGTCAAACTCGGCTGTGTGACTAAATCTTTAAATACAGCAGAAGGTTTTTGTTTAAAAATGGAAGACCCAGAAGAGCATGTTCTTCCAAAGTGAATTGTTAATGTGTTCAGAAGCACTGCAAACAATATTTTAGAAGTTATTCCATGTGGCTGCCCAAAACCTTCCAAGCTCAGAAGATGGTTGTTATACGCCATCAATGTGTCTCTGACTTATGGTGACCCTATGATCGAAAGCCCTCCAAAATGCCCTGTTCAGTTCTCCCACGTTCAAGGCCGTGACTTCCTTAGTGGATTCAGTCCATCTCATATTTGCTCTTCCCTCTTGTCTTCTGCCTTCAGCTTTCCTAACATGGTTGTCTTCTCCCCGGAGTCTTGTCTTCTCATGATATGTCCGAAGTATGACAGCCTCAGTTTCATCATTTTTGCTTCAGGGGAAAGCCCTGGCTTGACTTGATCCAGGATCCACTTGTTTGTCTTCCTGTCGCTCCAGGATATTCACAAAGCTCTCCTCCAGTACCATGTTTTGAATGCATTAGTTTTCTTCCCATTGGCTTTCTTCACTCAGAAAGTCAAAGACATCCGATCAAATGAGGGAGGAATGGCCTCCGTGCTCAAAAACAGGTTGGCAGCCAATGCTGGCCCATAATGCCTCCTCTGCTCCCACGAAGAAGGGGCTGATACTCTGCCTGGGTCTGGCAGAAGCTGGTGGTGCCCTCTGGCTCCCCTCTGCCCACAGAGGGCCTTCCACCTCCTGACCTCTGTGCTGGCTGAGAGGGGTGAGGGGGCTTCCAAGACTTTTCCACCATTGCAGTGGGGATGCCGCCTCTTCCTACAGCTGGCCAGGCAGCCACAGAGCCATGCCTTACGCAAACCAAATGTGTTACTTTGCGCTGAGCGCTTACTACCAGGACTGCTTTCGATTGCTGACAAGATTATTTCCCTTCGTCTCCCTAGAGTCTGGGGGACCTTCCTTCACAATCGGCAAGTCGGTCTGGCTGCTGTGGGCTCTGGTGTTTAACAATTCCGTGCCCATCGAAAACCCCAAAGGAACGACCAGCAAGATCATGGTGCTCATCTGGGCCTTCTTCGCTGTCATCTTCCTGGCCAGCTACACGGCCAACCTGGCAGCATTCATGATCCAGGAGCAGTACATTGACACTGTTTCTGGGCTCAGCGATAAGAAGGTGAGGGCTGGAGGGCTTGAGTGCCAATGGGGTGTATGAGATCAGAGTGGAGCCCCGACGTGGGCGGGGGGGGGGGGGATGCACTGCACCATTAATTACACAGTGTGCCTTGGAACAGCCAACACAGGTAAGAGGAATTAGTCCCAACTTGCAGAAATGGTGGTGACTTGCACATTGCCAAGGAGGAGGACCAGTGGAGATGCCGATTTCCACAACATGCACATTCACTAACTGATATGCATGCATGCACATAGCTGTAACTGAAATAAAGGTGCAGCACATTTCACCAGACTTTTCCTGATGGTTTCCATTCCAGTTCCAGAAGCCACAGGAGCAGTATCCCCCATTCCGGTTTGGAACGGTCCCCAATGGCAGCACAGAGCGGAACATTCGGAGCAACTACCATGATATGCACTCCCACATGGTAAAATACAACCAGCGCTCCGTGGAGGATGCCCTCGTCAGCCTCAAAATGGGGTATGTTCCCACCCTTCTTTGAGAGAACATAATGACAGACTTCCTCAAGGAATCTGTTCCAAACTGCGTTTTTAACCAGCTTTGATTATAAAATGCCCCTCCCCCCGCACCTTTGGGAGATGTACACTGGCAGTGGTTGCTGGATCCTCTCCTTTTCAGCTTCTAGGTTTTGGGTTGGATAAAGAAGGGCTTCACTGCCTGGTTACTTATTGACCTATTTTAATCCACAGCTCACCCCAGCCAGCAAGTTCAGTGGCCTGGCACACACATAGCAGCAGGGGTGGTGCAGTCTATTAATTGCTGGGGAACAACAGGAGCAAGTTGCTGCCTCCTGCATGTCTATGGCTTCGGCTTCACACCTGTCTTGGTAAACAGCCCAGTTGCAGCTTCTGTTGTGATATGTAAACTCAGGTTACTTAGGGTTAAGCAAGCTAGAGTTTTAACGTAACAAACCATTAGGGAGTGTTGGATTCGAGCTCTGAGCCATTTATAATCCTAAACACATGAGAATGCTGTGTTCACACACCACCAGCACCACCACCACCAAGATCTTCTTGGACTGTTTACAAAGCCACATGTGAAGCATGACTCCAAGTGTGCATCCTTGTTTGCTCTGGCACAGCCAAATAGATACGATTTAAGTTGCGCTGTGCCAACCAGATCACCAGGTCAGTGTTCAGGGCACCGGAGGCAGCAAAGTTCACTTTTGCCAACCCACATGATCCACCTGGATCCAATGCATTGCTTTCTGCCACGCTGCGCTCTTCTGATCACAATCTTGTGCCTGCCATATGCATACTGAGTCCATGTGTAGTGTGTCTTCAAATGTCTTGGGCCATTCACAGGATCAGCCCCCTTGCCATAAAATAGCAGCCCAGGCTAGCTTCCTCCTGTCACCTGCATGTCAAAGGGACCTTTATTTATTTATTTAATTTAAACAACTTATATGGCGCCCCATCACATGAGCCTCGGGGCGGCTTACAATTATAAAATCTCGCATAAAATACAAAAAAAAAATGACTGAAGTTTTTATATATATCTGGTACTAACAGCTCTCTGCTAATCAGCGCTCCAGAGAGGATGCCATGTCCATCTTCTGTCATATGGCAGCCTTACTCTTTGCTAAACCAATTAATGAAGATCCTGGGTCTCCATGCAAATGCCACTCACCACCTGAGGATGAGTCCAGAGGAAACCGAGCACCTACATTCAGCTCACTCAGCTTACCTGAAGCACTTTTCTATATGTGGCTTCTCTTCAATGCTTGTGAAGCCCGTCATAGTGGGATTGTTGGCCTTTCTGCTAGAGATGTAATGAACAAGCCTAAGAATCCTCAGGACATTCTAATTTAGCAGAAGGAGTCTCCACATTTTGTCCACAGTTGCTTGGAGTATCAGATTTTGAATCTCTAACCTGTTTCCATCCATTCTGCTCCTTCTTTTCTCTGTTTTAGTCCTTTGACCTGTTGTGCTTGTTTTTAAAAGGGAACCCTTACAGCAAAATGAGGCTGGGACAAGATGTTGGAATCAGAAACAAAGGGCACACTCCTGTGCATATTTAGACAGAAATTCTGCATAGGATTGCAGCAAGGATACTAAACCACTTGAGCAGCTCCCATCTTCAGCTTCCCTAGCCTCCAGCATGTATGAGATGAGCAGCTGTGAGGACACCCCATGGATGTGTTCTCTGTGGGGCTCCAAGAACCATATATGTACAGCCATGTCAAAGGATATCTCCTCCTGCTTTTTATGGAGGAATGTCATGCTAATCACACAGACCTGATCTGTGTAGTTATATGTTCAACTACTGAGGGGTGGGATGCCCCTGTGCCTTCACCAAATGCAGGATTCTCAGCTGGGGGAAGGTGGCAGCTGGGCTGAATCCCACTTCCTTCTTGAGTCCACAGAATGGATACTGCTGGCAGAATCAGGCATCCTTATCTACGCCTCCCTGTTGCAGCCCCTAAATATCTCCCAGAGTTCCTCAATCCCTCTGGAGCAGACTTGGAGCACATGCAGGCAGGGCATGAAGGGGGAGAGGAGAGGATGTGGCAATCCTATGCCACCAGCAGTAGTGATTCTGCAGCTGCAAAGAGGAAGCCGTATCTAAACTACGGTCTTCAAGAATGTTTACGAGATCATGCAGGGCACGCCATGTACATTTACTCAGAAGTAACTGGCAGTGAGTACAATGGGGTATACAAGTATGTGTGAACACAGAACAGTGGCCTTAGCCTACTTGTCCTCCCTCAAAGCAGCACTTCTGTGGTATAAGCAGTCTGCGTTTCCTCGTCGCTCAAACCGGAAGATTTTGTAGCTGCAAAACTGTGGCATGTCTTTGAGCATCTTACGGTCGTGACTGTCCTGTGCAACTGGCTGCTCAAGTGTCACCATATCCACACCAGCATGAGAGTGCCCACTTCATCCTCCATACTGTCCTCCCTCCCTCTCAATAAGTTGTATAGAGGTGGCACTTGCAGAGATACTGGACCACCCAAAGTTGTTATTTTTTTTTCAAAGCTTTTATAGCAAGGGAATGCTGTATTTTCTCTCTCACCACCTCACACACTTGGTAATAGTGCAGGCTGTGTTACTGTTCACATACCTCTCCCAGTTTTAAATTGGAACTTATGCGAATCTCTTACAAAACCTTGGAGTATAATGGGGGCACACAACAGCATTCTTTGCTTCTTCTTTTTAGTGGCATTTTTAGCCCCCAGACTGATACTGTATTGGTCGACTGGTTTGGACTATATAGTTTGTCTACTGGCTTATGAGTTGTCACTCAGTATATTTTCACAGCCACTGTTTCTTAATTTGCTCTGTCTTTCTGCTTGATTCCAGAAAGCTGGATGCTTTCATCTATGACGCTGCAGTGCTCAATTACATGGCAGGCAAGGATGAAGGTTGCAAGCTGGTGACCATTGGCAGTGGAAAAGTCTTTGCCACCACTGGCTACGGCATTGCCCTCCAGAAGGACTCCAAGTGGAAGAGAGCCATTGATCTAGCTCTGCTGCAGTTCCTGGGAGACGGTGGGTAGCTCAGTTCTCCTCCAAGATGCATTTCAGGCCAGGCACTACCAACAAGCCAAGCTGTGCAGTGCACCACTGCGGCTGGCCAGTCAGGTTGCTTTTTTCCCTTTAGGGGTTCGACCCCTCTTCAGCTAATTGGCTGATCGCTCTCTCCCCCACATGGCAAGCAGTAGTTTTCCAGACTCCACACCCCAAGATGCCTAGGTCAGAGCAGCCCTGGGCAGTTTCTGCTGAGTGAGCAGCTACAACAAAGAGGGGGGAGGACTAATGAGAACCAGAGGCAAAGAGCCATCGGGGATTGCCAGGAGCTCTTAGGACTTGGTGGGAACAACACGATCTGCTGACTGCAACTACATCACTTAGGAATTCTTCGGCTCCTTTGGACAAAATGCCATGCGGCACGACGATTTGTCTGACTACAGATCTGACCATGCAAAAAATCCCTCTCACAGTAAGGGAGGCATCGTTAAAATCCTAGTTAAAACAAACATAAAGGAATGCCCTTTCGTTCCCTCATGCAGATGGTGCGGTGCAGTATAGTTCTATCCTACACTTGTTAAGGATGTATGTTGCAGAAAAGGAGTGCTGAATTTCAAGCCCGCAGATCACGTGTGGCCCCCCTGGGCACCGGGGCTCCAGCCGGGCCTCTGATGGCCATGCCCTCCCATACCTCACACCTCCCTCTTGGCTCCAAACGTTGGCTAGTTTCCTGGATTCGGGGTGCATTTTTTCCCATTCCAGAAGGCTGAAGTGCCCCTCCTGAGGCTTGGCAAGTGGCAGTAAGAGCTGCAAGAGATTCAGAACGAGAGGACCCCACTGGGCAATGAATGGGAGGTCATCCAATGTCAGTCCTTGACTAGCATTTCACTGCCTCAACCTCTCTGTTCATTTGCATGTGAATGGCTTTCCAGGTGAAACCCAGAAACTGGAAACAGTGTGGTTGTCTGGCATCTGCCAAAATGAAAAGAACGAGGTGATGAGCAGCAAGCTAGACATTGACAACATGGCGGGAGTATTCTACATGCTGCTCGTGGCCATGGGACTGAGCCTGCTGGTCTTCGCCTGGGAACATCTGGTGTACTGGAAGCTGCGGCATTCAGTCCCCAAGTCACACAAGCTTGATTTCCTTCTGGCTATAAGCAGGGTAAGTGCTGTGCCTACTTATACACCCCTTCCATTTTCTCAGGAGGTGTCTGTGTCCTCCTTGATATTTGTTGGTCTTACATTAGGAATAGACAATTTTGGTACCTTGAGAAGTTGCGTTCTTCTCCCAGTTCAACTGTAGGTGATGAAACAATCTGAATACTCTCTTAGAAGGTCAGGTTCTATGAGGAACATAGGCTTTGCCTAACATTACAGCCATCAAAATGTGTAGTATATACATGCCAGTGAACGTGAGCTCACTAGTGTTTGTCACAGGCTGTAATGAAATGGTGAAGAAGCCTTCTATATACCATCATTTTGGATGTCCACAAATGTGTCTGCTTTGATGGTCTTGCTCTCACTGAGAACCTACCAGCAGCAGCATCCCAACAAGTGCACTATGTAAAGCAGTATATCTACTCAAGGAACTACAGGTAGTCCAAGGTTAAGAATATCTGGGTTATGAACAATCCATACTTATGAATGTGTGGACTGCCATAAACCCTATATGAATATCTCTAAGGAACTGCTGTGAAAATCTCTAGCGAACTACACAATGTTTGGCAAAGCATCATCAGAGGACATATAATTCCTAAAGATAGTCACAGCAATCTCTAGAGAACTACATGATGTGTTTGGTGATGTGTCTCCCAGTGGCCATGTAGTTCCTGAGAGGTAGTCATGGCTCTGTCTAGGGAACTATGCAACATATTTGGTGATGCATGTCTCAGTGGCCACATAGTTCCTTAGAGATAGTCACAGCAATCTCTAGGGAGTTATGCAACAAGTATGGAAATGCATCTCTCACTGGCTGTGTAGTTCCCTAGAGATAATCACAGCTATCTCTAGTTCCCTGGAGATACAGTATTCATAGCTTTTCATTCTGCAGCATCCAGACCCTAGCTACCAGCTACCACTCCAGTGGTAACACCTGCTCTCCAAAAGCACAATCAAACCCTGATTCTCCAACACCAGGTCCATCTGCATCATCAAGTTAATGTTAGGCTTAACGTTTCCCCAGGAATGTTCTAAACTTTTTTAAGAACTGTTTCTTTTAATTGCTTTTGACAGTACAATATATCTACACACATACATACATACATATTCTTTCTGTCTTCAATACCTGTATTTATTTTATTATTACTGTATTATCATCATTATTACAGTGCTGTATTGTGTTTAAGATGTTTTAGGAAATATGGAGGTGTTTCTTAAGCATTTTATATGCATAGAAGGTAAAATATACACATATACTAAGACAGACATTTGGCTTATTCATGCGATCCAAGTTACATACAAATTTGACTTAAGGACATTCTTAGGAATGGAACTTGTTCTTAACCCAGGGGCTACCTGAACAGGTTAAACAAATTGTGTAAATCTCTAGTCTCTTGTCTAACTGCAGAAACACTTATCCAAATATCCAGACAAGATGCCTGTAGATTTTACTGGTATCCCATCTAAGTTTCTATTTATGAAACCTAGTTTTGTGATATGTTGATTTGAAGGAATGTTGTCAGCCAGTTCCATCAGCCCCTTTCTGCTGCTAAAAAAACATGGATGTGGAATGTAATTATAGAATTCACCTCCAGCCTGTCAGCTAAGCCAAGCCTAGCTTACAAGCACTGTTCAAACCAGACACCAGGAGGACAGGTTGCTTGCCTATAATCGTAATCATCAAAATCCCTTCATAGAGGGTGAATAGGTAGAAAATGGAACAGCAGAGTGCTATTTTGAGATGGGGTGGAGTCCCTGATCCAATCTCCTATTTCAGGTGGCTGCCTCTGGAGTCTACCTCTGTGGGCTGAAGGCAGCCCTGCTTGGCAAGGCAGTTCTATGGTGCTTCCAGGCCAGGCCCTGCAGTCACTGTGAAAATTCACAGATGAATCCAGAGTAAGAGGATCCTTTGTGATTCACGGGAAAAGTGGAAATGCTCCACCCAAGAGGATAAGAGATGGCTTGCATATAATTGAATATGCCAATGCAAATTTAAAAATAATTAGTATAATTTAAATTGAAATGCAGGGCATCTCACCCCAGTGTGTAAGACTGTGAACAGGTGCACTGTGTGCCTACTTGATGATCTGTTCTCCAGGTGCTGTTAAAGGGCCACCGTTCTATCGTTCACAGTCTTGCTCTCCATGAAAGGGGGCACTCAGGGTCACCCACTTCAGAAACTGGGCTCTGAACTCTGGAGTGGATGTAACCTTGATGCACCGTTCCCCCAACCAAGCAGCCCAGCTTTCAGGAGCTCAAGTCACCTGGGTCCTGTTGCATGAACTGCTAAAGTCCCCCGACTCTCTCTATGATAAGAGCTGGTTCTCGTGGCATCTCAAGGCCATCCCCTTGTCAACAAATACTGAAATGGGGCTCCAGCATCCAGGGGGGATGTGGAGCACAGCCTCCTGCTGGGAATCCTGCTTAATGAGGAACAGCTTTGCCCCCAAATGCCTGCTCCTTCTCCTGCAGGAGAGGAGAGTGACCTCGAAGTCATCACGTTCCTCCAGGTCGAGAGTTTAGCCCGTCCATGGGGCAACCAAGAGGCTACGCCGTGGCTGAGCACCCTCAAGTACAGCTGCTGGATAAGCCGCGGTCTCTCAACAAGTGTGCGCAGGGAACGGCAAAGTGGTGCACTTGTACTCAATAAGTGTTAATGACAACGACAGTTGTGATAAACATACCGAGTATATGTGGATAAAGCAAGGCTTCCTGTGACCATTTCTAAAGGCAACTTGCATAGAAATGCATCAGTGAAACATAATTGGTGTGCAGCCGATTTGAAATTAAACCAATCAAAAACCAATCTTTCCCCAATTATAAATGTGCCAGAGAAATGATGAAGGAATTGATTTTCCTGTCCTTAGAGCCATTGCATTTACATTTCCAAACCATATTGTCTATTCCATCATAAACAGCCTAGTTATTTCTTGCCACTGCCTCAAAACGCTTTTAATACTACTTAATGGTGAGCTGAAGCGTGAAGAGAAGCAACAGAGAGTGGGGTTGTTGTCCCTGCTTACTTTGGATTAATGCCTCGCCATTAGGAAATCATAACTTTTCGGTTTTATTTCTTAGATGTCAAATAACTAAATTCAAATGACCTAAACTTGTTAGACTGAGAACCATAGTAGTAGATCCAATACTTTCTGGATCTCCATTTTCTGTGATATGTAACTACCCAAATTCATTGTGTTGTATTACTATCATTAATTAGGATAATGACATATTTATTAATTTAAATAAAATGGGCAACTGCTGAAAGCTTACAATTTAAAAATAAATTTAAGAACAGAATGAGGACAAAGGAGAAGTTAACAAGGGAGAATACAGGGCCCTGCCTTGAGAAAGTGTGGTGCAGTGCTTAAGAGCACGGGACTGGGAGAAAGACGATCGGAGTTCTAGTCCCCGCTCAGCCACGGAGCCAACTGGGTGACTTTGGGCCAGTCACAGACTCTCAGCCCAACCTACCTCACAGGGTTGTTGTGGGGATATGATGAAGGAGGAGATGTAAGCTGCCTTGAGCCCTTTGTAGGGAAAAGGCAGGACATAAATTGAAAAATAAACAACCAACCAACCAACCAACCAAACAACCCTATTTCATAGGAAACAACATCTGATCCTTTGAGATTTCAGTGCCACAAACAGTGGGAAGAGACTTGGATCAACCACGCTAGATGTGCCTTGAAAGCAGGGCAGGGCAACATACCAGACTGCTTGGCTTGTGCTGAGACACAGCAGGGGTGATCGGGAGGGCATCTTCTCAGTGCCGGTATGAGATTCATCAGATCTTGTTTGTGGAGTCAAGCCCTCCCAGCCAGGTCAAACACTTCAGAAGAGAATAACAAGCCATGTTCGCAGCTTCCCTATGCAATTTTAGCAAAACCAGAACCCTTCCTCCCCTTTGTAGTCTGTGGTGGAAACCTCTGATTTATAACAGGGTAAGGAGCACCGTGTAGCCCCAAGTCAGTGTAACTGGCCCTCCTGTTTGTGCGCATCTCTTATTCCCCAAACAGATAAATGAGGTCTTCCAGTATTTGCCATACCTCTTGGGTACGACCTTGGAAGTTGAGCAGAAGCCAGGGTCCCCCTTGCCAGACGTGCCTATTTGTCGTTCGTGCCCTCCTTTTACTAGGGGGCTTTTTTGGTCACTGTATTCCCTCATTGCATCTCTTCTCTTTTCCCAGGGCATTTATAGCTGCTTTAACGGAGTTCAGAATCTGGAGAGTCCTGCCCGCATTCACAAACCTGATGTCACTGCTAACTCTGCTCAAGCCAATGTGCTGAAGATGCTGCAGGCAGCCAAGAACATGGTGTCCACAGCCAGTGTGGGGAACTCGCTGGAGAATGCGACCCGCACCATTGAGAACTGGTCTAACAGGAGTGAAAACCTTCAAACCACCTTCTCCTTAAGGACTCCTCAGCTTGTTGTGCAAAACACCAGTGGGCCTAACAGGCCATCCCATTCCTCCAGTGTAGCGGCACCAGCAGCTGAGAAGCTTGGGAGGCCTGTCCCACCATCACCTCCTGACCCCCAGCAAAGCTTGGTGCCAGCCAGTGACAGCTGGAGAGGGGCAGCTGAGCAGCCACAGGTACTTCATCCACTGAAGTTCCGAGGCAGCTATTCTGAGGATAAAGTCCTTCCAGGTTCCACTGTGAACAGCTCTGCACACTACTTGGCAAGGCCCGCTCCTCAGACGCATTTAAGAAACCATGTGCCACTGGGAAACCACCTTAGTGCTAGTCCCCACTCACCAGGAAGGTCTCCTAGAGAGTTTCTTCCACCTGAGCATAACTATAAGCTCCCCATGGCCAGAGGACCTGCAAAAGAAAGATTCCACCAGAACGTCCACTTGGTGTATGGAGAAGGTGGGCCTGACAGCTCAGCCCAAGTAGCAAGACTGGCTTCCACTCCTGAGAAGAGAAAGGATTTGGAGGGGCACTTCTTGCCCCATGCTTGTGTGTATGATTCCTTCCCCAAAGCTGACAGGACTTGCAGAGCCTTTGCATATAAGGAACCTGACACAATAGAGCTAAGGAGAGAGAAGCAGAGCCATAGGGCTAACCCCCCAAGGTCCTCCTGGGAGCAACATGAGAGACCTCAGTCTCTAGGCATCTGGAAGCATCATGGGCAATCCCCCGTCTGTGGGGGTGTGCCAGACCTCTTCCCCAAAGCTGGCCTGGCTTCAAAAGCAACAACAGTGCCTGGAATCCATCACGGAATCCATCACTATCCCCCGGATGCCCTGAGGCAAAGCTACACCTGCAGTAGGAAGCACATGGAAGCCAATGGCTTACCTTGGAAGGACCAACGGCTGCTGCCTTCGCAATCCACAAGGCTCCCTTCATACCGGGAGGCCTGCCTACAGAACACCTCGGGCGTGCACAGGGCTTCTTCCACAGTGGTGCACAAGCAGTATGCCTACCTGAACTCTTACACAAATCTGCCTATTTACTGGGGACGCCTTTACCAGGGCTCTCCTCAACTGTGTGGACAGTCCAGCACTGCTCAGCACTGCTTCACTCGCACTCCCTGGGCCCCTTGCAGCAGGGACTTCTTGGTCCATGAGGATGGTCAGAGAACCATGTACTTTGGTAGCACATACAGAGACTGCAGGGACAGGAGCCGAGCAGACCCTACCTTTCTTCAGATGGTGAATACTGAGAGGAGGGACTTCCTGGCCACCCAGAGGATGCACAGCCCATACGCGGCACGATCTTGGAGGCGTATAACAAGCCTTGAGTCTGAGGTCTGATGGTGGGGAAGGGGGGAAGGGGGATGCTAGCGGCTGTTGCTAAGTGATCGGTATGGACTGTCGTCCATGTATGTTGGAGACCCTTCATTTGGGGCCAACCCCAGGGAATGACCTCACAGCGGGCAAGCAGGAGACCTTCCAACAGAACAGTCTGCTTCTCCCTATTAAGCTGGTATCAACAGATCTTGTTTCTCTTCTGTACTGATGTGGATCATCGTGAGAGTAAGTGACCTTTCTGCATCATCTATGGATGGACCCAAGAACAAAGCAGCAACAGTCGAAGGCACTTGAATGACTGAACTCCAAAGTCTTCCATCCCGGGGCGCGTGCAAGCCAGCTCTCCTGGCGGCGGCTCACCATCAGTCATGCTGCCTCTGCGGATCGCTTAAGAAGCATCAGCTCCCGTGCCAGCCACTCACATTTCAGGGCCGGTTCTCCTCAGAGAATGCTGTCTGTGACACAGCTGGGGACACCCCACAGCTTCCTAACCAGGACTAGGACTACCTTGCTTTCCCATGCGCACTGATATAAACCTGGGCTGTATAAAGGACTGACAGGCACACACTACGATATTTTTAGTGTTTTACATTACTTTCTGGTTCCTCATAAGAGCTCAAAATGCCAAACAGAGGTTATTAAAGACACACTTCTAAACCGCATTTGCTCCACCTTCCTTTTGTTTGCTTTCCTTTGGGATGTGCTCATAAAGGCTGTGTTCAACAAGGTCTCTAGGATCAAGTTTGCCAAGAACAGCTCTTGCATGCCACCCTTGGAAGAGCAGGCCCTAAACTCATGCTTATAATGCAGTGGCTGGCAACCTGTTGTTCAAGTGCTAACAACACCTGCTGGAAAGAGGCAAATGCCTCAAACAGTGATTGACAAGCAATATTCTGCTTTGGCATGGAGACTAGCCCATGTTCTGGTCTAACCCTGGTCTGCCAGGCTATTCCCTGCAATCTACTACTGTTTCTTACAAGTAGCTTAGGTACTTGTATAAGGAAAGGGATATAAAACATTCAAGCCTTCAGCTGCAGCAAGGAGCACTGGGTGGGCCGCATGTGCATCTCTGGGCCACTTGTGCCTTCCCTTGCTGTTTTGCAGTCCCCCTTCCCCCTTCTAATAAAATCAGGGGCATTACCACCACGGCAGGAAATGGTGGTGGTGGAGCCCTTAGAAGTGGCCCATCCTTGTTCTCATATTTAAGAGGGGCTTCAGAAGAGGAAGCCATCTTGTTTCTCAACATGTGATGATAGTTTGTAATAGCTGAGTGAAGGCAACCCCAACCATTAGCACATAAGCTAACAGCAAAGTCAGGTGTGGTTATTTTAAGTCCGGAAGCAAAAAGGAACTGTCCATGAATACCAGTTCTTTGTTTTTAGGGGACTATAGAAGTATACGTCTGTAAATTAAAAGATTTTTCAATGACTCAAACAGCCCCAAAAGAACCTATGAGCTTAAAGGACTTGCAGAAGGTTGCAGATGTACTGAGGCAGGGAATAACTTGTAGAGTATCTCGCCGAATTCTCCAGAGACAGAACTTCCGTCTTCACATTGGATACCAAAGACAAGAATTCCCCTCTTGGCTACATTTCATTTGTGTGTGTGGTGGAACGATGTTTACCACAGTTAAGCCACTAAACGTTAACATCTCCCCCATGGGTAGCCTTTTGCTCTGAAGGGGAAGAAGCAATAAAGCAGGGCTCCCATAGAAGGTTATTTTAGGAAGGAAGAAGGGGAAAGAACAGGGGCATATTTTATCTTTCCCATTCCCATCTTCTGGGTTGGCACTTGCAGAGGGCCCTAAACTCAAGCCCTCTAGCATGTTCTTGCACAGCTGGAGACGGCTTGGGGCAAAGACAGTGGTGCTTTTTCTCTGCAACAGAGAAACCCACCACTACTATGTACCAAGAACCCTAAGCAAGAGTCTGGTCCAGGCTGACTTGGAACCCTGAGCAGAAGCACTGATAAACACCCACAGGTCCCACTTGACAAACCATCTTGCAACCAGAGGATGCTAACCCAATCTCATGTTATTTAAGCCAGTAGCAGCGATTTCCCAGCATCCAATGTGCATACAAGAGTTTTACCACCACTCTGCAAAGATTTTGCCATAACCACCCCTTGCTTAATATAAACGTATTTCTACTCACATTAACAGATGCTTTATCAAAGTCAGGAAAGAGTTATTTCCCATCTTAGCAGATGGCTATAATTCAAAGAAGATTCATTAGGGCAGTTCTCATCCATAGAAAGAAGAGTTTGAAGGCAATAGGCTCATCAGAGCAAAGTCTGGAGGAAGTCACAGTAAGAGTGAATCAAGCCAACATTTACCTACTAGCAGAGTTGAAACATGACTGCAGCAGTTTGGTCTAGCAAATACACAGGCACGGTATGAAAACAAGTTACAGGTAACATAATGACATGACATGTATACATTCATGACCTATTGAGCTATATTTTTAAATGCAAAACTTTCTGATCAGAATGTAACTACACAGAAATTATTTATATAGCCATGTCCAGAAGTTTGGAAATATTTTCAGTGCATCTTGGTTGTCTAAAATTCAGTTTGCAGCCTGCACATGAATGGTGGGACCTGCTGGGGCTGGTGGATCTGAGCTCATTCAAGAGAGGAAATTAATTTTAGTTTGGGTCTTGTTAGGTTAGATTAGAGATGAGTGCTATCAACAGCTGGGTTTTCAGTTCTATACCGTAACCATGACCATTTCCCCAAATCCATGAAGTGAAGGCCACCACCCCATCGCCATTGTCATTATTTCTATGCTGCCCGTAGCCAAAGCTCTCCGGGAGATTTACCATGAAGAATAAAAACAATAATACAATAGATAGATAATGCTGTTCTTACTACAACATTAACAAGAATTAAAACTGATTTAAAATAGCGTAGAAGAACATTAAAAGACAATAAAAAGACAATTAAAAAGACCCGGCCAAGAATTGCCTGTCTCTGCTCCATATTACATCAAACTGCCATGCGTTCTTTCCCAGCATGTGAGCAGGGACTTGTGAGTGCAACATAGTGCTAATCATCAAAGTGTACCCTTGCCTTTAACTGGCTCATATGTCCATCTCACAGTCCCTACTCCAGCCAAGTGTAAAGCTTCAGGCAGCTCTGTTGACATTTACAGTCACCAAGCTTCCTCGGATCCCCTATCGGGCAACTGAGAATGAGAAAGGCTGGCGCAGACAGATCCCACATGGCTCTGCAGTCTCAGCTGACACTGCCAGTCTGAGTGCGATTTTCAGACTTCCCTGTGCCTCCCCAGTTCCAGCCAATATGTGCATGGGGACCAGGTTATGGCTGTGCTGTGGCTTTTGCTTCTAGCAAGCTTTGCAAATCGCAGAGCCATCCATTAAAATATCATTGTCCAAGGCCATCTATTTCCCTTCTGATCAGTCCCTTTGATTCAGTGGGCAGAAGAAACTCTTCTTGTTGGAGCCACCTGATTTACAGATAATTGCTTTGCAAACTCAAAGATTCTACTGCTAAATCACAGAATTTGGCAGTGGGTGTGAGCGCGCATACATGGATATCGGGACGACTCTATGTTGATCATGGAAGATCTGTCTTCACGGTCAAGTACACCAGGAATCAGGTCGGGCTAGGAAAGAAACCTTCCTTAAACCCTAGAAAGCCACTGTCATACTGGGCTACACGAGCCATTGTTCTGATCTGGTTCATTCCTCTGTTCCTCTGTTCCACGTGGAATGAACTAGTCTAGTTTCTACTGCACCCCTACAACAATGTTCATAAACGACGCAAACCCACTGGCTTATGAAATGTGTAATGTTGCTTAAGATCTTAATCACCTCTCTAGATAAAAGTATAATGTATAAAAAATTAATTTGCTTTTTCCCCCTACTTGCCCAGTATTTGGAAAATACCGCAGCTCAGCTTTGTCTCTGCCTGGTCTCAACATATTCAATGAAACCTTGGCAGCATGAACATCGAGCTGTTCAACAGAAATCAGAAGAAAAGTATTTAATTTAGCTCTAGTCTGATTTAAGGAAAGAGAGAAAAAAGACCTCTGATATTCTGTCCCTTCATTTCCATAAGTCTTGTTTTGTGTTTCATTGCTTTGTCTCATTATAGTCACAGCAGGAACAAAGGCATCCTGAGGAGTTGTCACCTAACTGCTAATTTTTCACTTAACATCACAAGATAGCTAGGGGTTGGTGTGAGGAATGCATGTCTTCATTTGATTTCACTGTTTGAGCTGTCACCTTTTGGGACTGAAGCGAAGTGTGACAGGAGTCCACCAGGCCTGCTAGGTACCTGGGACAAAACAGCCCAGAGGCACAATCAAGCTGAAGGCGCTCCTACTTTTTGCCCCGGCCGGCCGGCGGTGGACGGGAGCCCCTTTCAGCATGGAATGCTTTTTGGTGGAAAAAATACTCTTTACAGCAATAGATAGCACTCATGAAATAAAATGGCTTTGGCTAATTTCCTAAAGATGGTAACTGAGTTGGTTTCTTGCGCTTTTGAAAGGATGGTGTGCGGTCATTTAGAGCCACTGCCGAAAAATACCCTGCCCCTCGAGTCCATCAGACAAAATGAGCACTATGAGTGGGGACACACTTGGTCACTTGAGTGTGCAGAGAGGCTTGTAGGGCAGAAAGCGTTTCCCTGAGGTACCTTTGGGAGCCAAACCACTTAGGCCTTTAGATGGTAAAAACTAGCACTTTGAATTGTGATGAAATGCTGAATGAGAACTTGCACTATTCTCTCCACATAGAGGTATTATATTGTAACTTGCCCAGACACTCCACCTATTGGGCAGCAGAGTGCTCAAATAAATAAATATTATTCCTATGCTATCTGTGTCATTTTCCTGACAAGTGGGCTGCTAGATTCTGAACCAACTATAGCCTCCAAGCAGACTTTAAAGGGCAGCCCCAAGCCAGCAGCCCAGCCAGAAGTTGTCCAAGGCATCTCTAACATTGGCAGGGTCAGCCCTCATGAGGAGTGGCCACAGTACACGTAGCAGCCAAAGGTGATCTGTTTAAAAAGCAGTTTTGCCCACTCACGCTGCAAGCAAATCAAGGAGCAAATACACGTTTTAAGGAGGAGAGCATCTCAAGAGGTTCACACCTTCCTGTTCTTCAAATCAGACCAGCAAGTCATCTTTGGTTTCCAGGGCTGGCCCAAGACATGTTGCAGCCTGCTGTGAAGGACAAGATGGTGCTGCGTGAATCCCATGTGAACAAGCCAGTCAAGCCAACCGCAGGAACTTAGGCTTGGTAATGGGGCAGCTGAAGGGCAAGGCAAGCTGTGGATGCCCGCAGCTCTGTCCCGCACCGGCCCCCTCCACCTGCAGCCTGCCTGCAGCCTCTTCAAACCAATGATCCAGTGTATCTGGTGAGGTGAGCCTGGCCTAGCAGCCTGTCTCCTTGCTTGCTTGGTCTGGGGACTTCTCTGGAGCCATGTGACCACCAGGTGACCAGCTGAGGGGAGGGGGAATTGCTGGGAACAGCTACTGCTATTCTTCTCACATTCACCACCGTCCTCTGGCTAATTGAAGGGGGGTGGACCTAAGAGGAGGTGTCTTGGAAGCATCACAATGTTCCCCGAGTCCTCAGGATGGGAATGGCTGCTTACATAAACAAGCAGACACGGGCATTTGTGGCTCTGAGAAATGCTCTGGGGAAAGGTGGTGACTTGACAAGATGACACAAGCTGGCTGCTGGTCCTTCTCTCTGTGATTTGTTCACTGGAGGGAAGTCGCAACCTCCAATGCTCAGGGTTTCTTCTCAAGACCATTGCCGGTGTTGAGAGTGAGAGAGAGAGAAAGAGTGCTGATGCACCCATGTGCTGCTTGTGGACTCGCTGGAAACATCTTGTTTGCCACTGGGAACAGCATGCTAGGCTAGGCAGGCCTTTGGTTTGCTCTCTGTATGCCCTAGCTATTCTGCCTGTTCCTTTCTGATGCTACAGAAAGTGTGGCGTCTGCCTTTTGTTATCCCAATCAGTGTCAGAGCCAATGGACTACAGTGAAATGAGCCTGGCCGATTCATGCACGGAATGACACACTGAAATGCTGTAAGGGGAATGCCAAGGCTTGCAGGATTGATGGGACACCCCCATCCGCACCAAGGATGCTTTTCATACAAAGACTGCACACTGTCCACAGATGTCAATGCACCATTGTCCTGCCCCACCTGGGACTAGTTAGGATCCGTTCCCTACCCAGCTCTGCTTCAACCCAGTAATTAATCCCTTCTGTACTGGGATCCCTCCTGCTGCAAGCAACAATATGCACACGTCTGAATGGAAAAACAAATGGCACCTAATTAAACTGCCCTCTGGGATAATTACTCAAAACCGACCCAGCTGCAACCATACAGAACAGAAGCCAAATGCTGGCATGAAAAGAGAGTTGGCTGGGTACAGTTCGCTCATTTGTCTCCCCGGCCAGGCAATCACTGGTCGCCTTCCCTGCTGCGCTTGGCCAGAGAGGTTCCAAACGGCCACGTGACCCAAGGCCGCCCCTCGCCTGCTTCTTCAGCTTGAGCATCAATTCAGTGCGGCAACGTAGCCAGGGGCTCACCCGATTTCCCACATTCTGGGAAGCTGGGCTTGTATTCCCTGAGAACATCGGCCTTTACCCCATCAAATTTAAATAGCGGGGAAATCTTTCCACCTCACGCTGCTCTATTCTGGCCCGGGGGCAATGTTGCCCCCGCGCTCATGAAGCACTGCTGGGCCACATCCAGCCCTTAGCCCCTATTAAATATAATGTAGCATCAAGTATATAGGGGATGCACAGAAGGGGGGAATATGTCTCTGGTGACATGCAGGGCTCGAGTCAGGCAGAGGGCTGCTCTGTTTCCACCTGTTGCTCAGGTGGCCCTTGAGGAGCACAGGCGTGAGAGGAGCGCATTCACGAACGCACGACCCTTCAGCGGTGCTGGTGCTGCGGTCCCGCCCACCCTTACCTGTGAGCGCCACTGCCCGCAGCGGGACGCACGTACCCCCGAGCACGGCAACGCTGAGCCGCTTTGCAAGGATGGGAAGGGCACTCGCCCAGCTCACCCGGAAGTGCTTGGCCTGTACCAGTTCACACACCAGGGGGAGGCTTCCCTGACTGAAAGATGTGGTATACGGCATTTCCCCGCACATTGAAAACTAGTATGCGAGGCTAACTAAAAGGCCTCTCTCTGGAATCTAGTTTTCTATACGCAAGAGAAGGAAAGAGAGAAAAGTTGTGGGAGCAGTATTGAGACATACGAACCCCTACGTGAAGCCTGAAATGGTACAGCCCAGGCACAAGTGTACCATCCCAGCGAGAAGCAAGCTGGAGCGGGTGGTAGCTACCTCTGAATGGAGATTGAGCTGGAAGCACAGAATTTAATACAGCAGAATTTTCCGCCTGGGGCTCTACCGTGTGACCGCCGTATTACTGATGTGATTAGAGCTCCTTGCCAGTCTGGGATGCAAAATGAAAAGCGGCTTTGGTTTTTGTTTTGAGTGCTTGGCAACCGGGCCGTAAAGCTGTCCACATTCCTAGCAGCTCCGGAGTTAGCCGCATTCCAAGGAAGAGCTTTGGACCGTGTAGAGTACTAGGTCCAAAGAACTGCTCAGGCTCAGAAGGGGCCTTCTGCTTGTGGCATGTGGGCTGTTGGTCTTTGTTTTTGTTTTTAAATAACTGTGTTCTTTACAATACAATACTGGAGGAGCTACAAACATTCACAGATGTGTCTGCTTGTTAATATCAACCCACTCAGCAGTTAAAGAGTAAAAAGTAAGATTGCCCAATGCTACCTTCCATTCTAGGAGCTTGTTTAGGGTGGACACTTACAAATCTTCGACAAAGAAGGAAATGCTTCACCCAGAAAGAGGACAAAAAACATAAGCATTTGCATATGTTAATATATATTTTTATTATCAACATCATCTGACATTTATATCTCACCTTTTTTCCTTTGGTGAGGAACTCAAGGCAGCTTACCTAGCTCCACATTATCCTCACAACAGCCCTGTGAGGTAGCCAGGCTGAGAGTCTGCGACTGGCCCAAAGTCACCCAGTGAGCTTCATGGCCAAGCGAAGACTCGAAACTGGATCTCTTGGCTCCCCAGTCCAGCATTCTCATCACCACACCGCACTGACATATAGATGCAAATCAAGCAACGGCCATGATTTACCTAGAAGTGCAGTCTCTTTCTCCATAGGGTGTGAACAGTAACCACCCTACACCGCAGCTGGTGTAGCTGCGGTTGAGCCAGCTGTCCAGGTGCAAGAGTAACAGGCAACTGTTCTTGAGCTTTACACTGGAATGGGGCAATACATCCCTTCAAACAGAGGGCTGCTTTCTGTAGAAGAGGCCACCTGGAGACCTGCTTGTTGTGTTCTGACCTCTGCCATCCTCTGTGATTTACATGGCATCACAGCAAAACAGTTCCAAGCTGCGGGGGCCCTCCCCAAGCCCCACATAGACGCCTGGGCGCAGAGTGGACGGATACAGCAGGCGAGGGCACCCTGTTGCCAAAGAGGGTGGCAGGTGCTGAAAATCACAGCACTCAGGTGGCAGCCCTGCAGAGAACGGAGAAGCATCACTCAAGCCAGCAGCCGGTCGCTCTCGCTCTCTAGGCAGCCTGCTGACCGACCGCTCCAGGGAGGGAGGTGAGATAACAGGATCAGCGCTGCCCAGGACGCCACGGGGATTCTGAACAAGCAGCTTTGGGGAAGCAAGAGGCGTTGCCGGTCTGGACAGCTGGCTCAGAGGGTATTACAATAATCAAGCCTAGTGGTCACAAGGGCAGGCCTTGCTGTCACAGTGTCGTCATAGGATAAACGAGGGCACAGCTGGAGCATATTGCAAGGCCTGGCAAGGAAAGCTTGCTGCCACGTGTGGCCTGGTTGCGGGGGGGGGGGTCTGCCTGGGAAAGGGCACCGTGGAATGTGATGCTGAGCAGAACTGACTCCCCCCATAAGCCCAAATGCCAACAACACGCGGGGATCCTGGCAGCAGCGAGAGAGGGGGACTCGGGGGACCAAAGATCCTTCATGTGACCTGGGACACTTTCTTCAGAGAGAAATTTGGGACAGCGTCTCCTCCACAGGCTGCAGTGCGATCCACGGTCCTGCCCACATGCCTACACGTGCATTTACTTATCATCTGCTATCTGATGGATTTTCTTTCTGGATATGCAAGAATATGTTGCTGCGGTGTGTGCAATACATCAGCATTACATTCTAATCCTGCCCAAACAGCTTTCTGTGCAAGGGAGGCTGCAGTCCTAAATGGGGCAAAGTCCTCTTGAAATGCACTACCCAGGGGTCAGGTAAAGGTTTGTCTCTTTATGGCTTTTATAAGGCATAAACACTCCCGGTTGTTCTGATGCTCTGCCCTCTGCTTGCCTCCTCTGTCAAATGCAGTGTAGGGATTAGGCCTGCTTCTCTCAAAAGACCGTGTTCCAAGAAAGCTCAGACTCTGGAGATGAGCTAGATGAAGAAGGGGCTGGGTTGGGATGCATTACTGAAACATTGAGGTTAACCAGTAAGAATCGCCTGGTGAGAACCAGACTGCCACTGGTTTGTGGAGAAACACTGTAGTGTAGCACAAGGAGGGTCAGAGGGAGAAGGCTGGGCATTCGTCAATCCACTGGTTTCTCATCAAGCCAAATGAACAGACCAATTAGGTAATGGGGTTACTTTGGAGTTACTAGCATTCTCACCCTCTAGACCACAAGCAGCATAAACCTCCCTGAGGGTGGAGCCAGGCCCTTTTTGGGGTAAAAAAGGGGCAGGGGGATTCAGATTGGAAACAGCTTCTGGCATGGGTAGGAGCTAACTCCAGCAAAGGATCACTACTTTGATAGATGCTACTTGTTAACAACCTTATCAGTACTCACTGTATATCTCAAAGCCAGCCTAGCTCCATAAAGGACTGTATTTTAGAAGCCTTTTGCCTTGATTTGTTCATAATATGCAGTAGTAGTCAACCTTATATTGTACATGCATATTGTGCCAGATTTTCATAAAGAACTCACAGCCCAAAGATTAAAATGTGTAAGGAGCTGTGGATGATGAATTAGAAGAGATGGTTAAGGCAGTTTTTCTCCTATTCAGAGTACATATATAACATCCTTCTTCACTGATGCTATGGGAAAGCTCCCTTGAGTTAAGTGACAGAGGGGACGTGAATAATAAAAGTGACAGAAGGAAGAATGTAGAGAGAAGAGATCTTGGAAGCCTAGGGAAATTATTTATGTATTTCAAGCATTTCTGTCCTGCT